CTTCCGATAGAGGTGAAGCTCTGCCTCCAGCACGGACTCGTTCACTTCCAGTCCAGTGATGTTGAAGAAGTAGAACCGCGACATGGACGTGTCTGAGAAAGCAACATTAACATCTGTCACCCGAGTTTTGTTAATGCAAAATTAAAGGTGAAATATAGACTTATTAAAAAAAATAACTGTTCTTTGGATTTAGCTAATTTTTCTATTAAGAAAAGAAGTATTTCAGGGGGTTCGTAGCATCGGAATACTCGGGTCAAGGGGTTGTGCAATTTACCTCTTTCGATAAAGCTGCGCACAACCTTGGCGTTGTACGGATTTCTGCCCCGTGTGACGCCGCTCGGATCGGCGACGTTGTTGTACAGCTCGACCATAAACTGCGGGGGCACCTTGCGACGTCCAGTCTTCTCGGCGTGGCTTCGAATCCCAAGGACCTGTAACCATTTCATCGGCCGATTAACCACCGTTCGTCCTATGTAACTTCACTGGTACTCTTCTAACTCGTTTCATCACTATCACGACTCCCATTACGTCGTTTACGCGGCACAGTTCGTTCAAGACGGACCTGTTGCAGTTTCTCGAGTGCCTCGTCACGTCGTGCGTCGTGCTCGTTGCCCTCGTTCAAGTCAGCCAGAGACCAAGTCGAGGAATCATCGTCTCTTCGTTCATCGACACTCCGTCCATCGACGTCTTCGGTGAAGCCATTGGGATGACCGTTCGCCACGAAACACCTGGACAGCAGCAATAACGCCGGAAAAACCAACGTCACGGTTCTCGTCATCACCCTGATCTGTTCGTTCTCCACGATGACTCGAAGTCGCGATATATCACGGTCTGATCTCGAATGGTTCGCGAAGTTGCGGTTGGTCACGCGGCAAAAACAATGACGGCAATCCTTGGATCCCCGATTGTCGAGAATGACGAGGACACAACGTCGAGCATCGACCGAAAATTTCGCCGCTAGTGTACCCTTTTAACCGTTCCGATTTCTTCGTCGCGGACGCGCAACACCTACGACTCGTCTCGTCGTGTCGACGGGGCCAAGAAAACTGTGTTCCCCGGTGGAGGATGGAGCCGGAGATACCTTCTCTCTCTATGTAACTCTCTCTCTCTCTCTCTCTCTCTGTCTCTATCCCTGCCAGCGGACAGGAGGTTTTGCCGAACCGAACGGGACGCTAAGTAGCATATGGGAGGTCTTGGCTGCGAGGAGTCACCTTTATGCTATGCCGGGAGTTGCCTCCCCCGCGTTGCTCCCCCGCACCGCGACATCGGCTTCTCTCTCACGGGATACCGACTGAACGCGTTCCAACGCGGGGACCGAGACTTCGTTGACGACTGTGCGAGCCTCCGTCCTCTGCGCACCGCAAACTCGACCGTTTTCGACTAATCGTATCGACGGTACCTTTGACGATGTCACTCCCTTGTTTCACCTATCATTCACGGAAAATCTAAAGCCTCGAATATTTTTTTAACTAATAATTTGTCACTTTTAGGTCGACTTCCCTTCACTGGAGAACAGTATCCCCTAACGATGCGATACTTTCGGTAGGCTCTATCGACGAACGATCGGAAAAAGATGTTTAAAACCCCAAAGGAAACGACCAGCGTGTACGACGAGGAACGATCACGCCGATACCTTTTGGAGGCGAACGAAAACGGACTGGTCGTAGGCCCGATGATGACACTGGGCTATTAAAAAAAGCTCACGCTTCCTAAATTCCGTGGATTCGTAAGTGGCGAGTTATGTGGCTCCGCAGGCGGATATATAGTTGTCGCGAAATAATCGGTTTGTTTTCATAAGTGGACGGATGACGGATCGCGACGGAGGGGTGGTGTCACCGTGTATCTCTTCGCCCACGCATACGCCCCGCCCGAAGACGGAGCACGGCTCCGACCTCGTTCTTTTTGTTGCACATTTATTTCGTACGGGCCACAACAACCGAGCGGGGCTGAATTGAGAACAACGAGCCTCGACGAATGGATTGTAACTACAAAATTGGCCGGTGCCAATTGGCCGTGTCTTTTGTAGAAATGCGCGTCGAATTCGTGGAACGATGATCTCGGTTCGCCAGGATCCTATGCTCGTTTATTCACCGCGTAACTTACATCTGACGTGGTGATATCTGGTATTACCAACGAAACGGAACTAATCGTTTACGCATCGAACGGAGCAGCTTAATGTGTGTGCCATTATCGTGGAAACGGAACAATTACACAGTCATCGAATCGAATGATATTCGGTGGGCGTGTGGAATAGTCTTATAGGTAACCATTGGAGTTTTCCTTTTTTTTTTTCTACAAAGTCATCGTACATTTATTAATCATACCAGTACACGGTGCATGTAGGAACATCGAAACGGTACTTTTGCGCACAAAATAGGTTAATTCGTTAATGTCTCGCCGTTTATTCGGCTGGATCGAACAGACCCTCACCGATTCTCGCTGGGTCTATTCAGACGCAGGCACACTGAGTGATTTGAATGATCTCCCTCTTCGATCCCCGACGAGTTCTGCAAAACAATCGCAACCGAAACGTGTCAAGTCTCTGTCGAATCTACGATCAACGATCCCGTATATCGAAATATTTCTACCTGTACTCGTGAACTTTGAATCTGGCGGGGGTGCAAGAGTTTTGCTTCCTGTACAAACTGGCCAGGCATCTGGACGGTTCCTTTTTCACTCGTAGAAGGCACATTTCCGTTTCGTTTCCGGTACACGTGCCGACGCACTGTCCGACGTTGATTTGCTGCGAAAGGAATTGTTTGTATAATTAATATATAATAATAATACAATTAATTCCTATCGACGAGAGAAAAGAGAATTTACCCGAATGACCGGCCTAACGTCCGTAGTGTTCGTTCCGTCTTTGATTTCGACTTCGCTGAAGTCCAGAACGGTCTCCATTAGATCCATTCTGTGGCAGATTCCGGCGCAGCCGCATTTCTCGATCACCTGATGGACTTCGTCCCCTAAGAAATAGAAAAATTCCACGTATTATCGACGCCCCCGCGACATCTCCTAGATTTTAACGAACCACTTTTTACGTACCATTCGGTCCTTTGATGCTGACCGTTCTGTTCCTCAGTGGTTTGCATCCAAGATCTTCCAGAAACGATACATACACACATATATTAACGTTAAGAATTTAATTTAATTTAATTTAATTTATTACCATTAACGGGAAAACCCATTTTATATAAAAGTTAAACTTGTTCAGTTGCAATAGAAGTAAATCGAATTCGAGTACCATTAGCACAGTGACCCATGCATACACCAACGTCCATCACGGCCAGATGAGATGCCGAATAGAGCGAATGCGTCAATGATTCCCGTCTGCAGGACGAATCCGGCGTGCACTCGCAATCCTCTATCACTTCGATCACCCGAACACCCTGGATCGTCGACACCCTCTCCATTTTCGCGTGCTTCGTCCGACAATGCGATTCCGGGAAGCATCTCTGGTATTTCAAAACAGAATAGTTCCAATATCAGACAATTATTATTAAAGTCGAAAAACGAGTGAAATCTTAACGATATGATTCTGAGCATAGGCGTAGCCAGGGGGTAGGGGTTGGCACTTGCCCCACCCTACAAAACAAAATTGGATTTTGCGTAACATTTAATATTTCAGTATAATTTGAAACACGACCAACAGCCTCCACTAACAAAACGTGTCTGGTTACGTACAACCTTTTTCACTGTGGCAGTAGATGTGTTAATATTTTTGCCCCCCCTCGACTGATAACCTGGCTACGCCCATGATTCTGAGATCGATTGGTTTCCTGGGCCAAAAAGAAAGTAGAGAAAGGCCTCGAAATATCCGGTTAATTTACATCGAGATAAGTTCCGCGAACTATGGCGATATCGAGACGTGTTGTCCAGATGGAATTTATAATAATCACGGTGCTTCGTTATCGCCTGTTAGGAACCCCCCCTTGGGTACCTGATTTCTTTCGCAAGACGCGGGTCATTTAATTATCCTCGCTGCGGGATAACCAACACACACACACACACACACACATATACTCGTACATTGCGAGCGCGATCTTTCGCCTTCCCGTTCGCCTCCGTTTAACCCTCCCCCCACCCTTGGTACGGTGATATTTCTGGCTAAGAATATTTTCTAATAAATTCCGTTCTCAGGCACATCCATCCTCGTGGGTCCCAGGAACACGATTCGGGATACACAGTGGCCTGGCCAGGCCGGCGCCAGATCGGTGACCCGACACGATACGACCTTCCAAGGACGCAAAACACATCCTTTCCTTCTTGCATATCGCGTGCGAGAAGCGTTTCTCTGCCTTCCCGAGACTTGTTTCTCGCTGGGGGCGTGGGTGCTGCAAGATCGTAAACCACCGATCGGATTGCATCACGTGACGAAAATAGCATCTCTCCCCGGGACAAGGAACGAACAAGGATCGTGACAAGAGGAGGGGGGGGGGGGCGGTTATCAAACTGTTTTGCGAATTATTTCGAACGATACTCTCCGAGTCGTTAATGTCCTCTACGTACACCCACGAGCAAACTCGGCTTCCAGTAGGGGAAAAAGTAATGAATTAAGGAAAAGGCCTTTTACCACTTGGTATTGGGAATTATTCAAAATTTATAATAAATTAATATTCGATTTAACATTTATTTCAGTACTTGAAATAAATTTACCAAGTGGTAGATGGCCCTTCTCCTATGCCACTTTTTCCCCTAGTGGAAGCCGAGGCTGCTCGTGAGGGTACATATGCATACATGTATGTACATACATACATTCGAATTTATGAGATCTATGGTGTTTAGACTAGACCGTGGACACCTCGAGTTTCTTACGATTGCTGAACCTGTATAACCTGATACACAGAATGTCTCTTCGCGCAGGAAACGTATATTGTGACTCACGAAGTTCGTCCAGGAAAGGCTACCACTTCTGTTCGATCGAATTACTCATTGAAATGCGAATTTTATTTCAAAAATAAGAAAAACTGATCACAAAAGGATGATTAAAGTAATAATATGGAGAATGTGCAAATAGAAATTGTAGAAAAGTTTCGACACCTAGTTGTTGTTTCGGAAGTCTGCGAAGGAATGTGTGAGTCACTGTATAATAAGCAGGGAGCACATTAACCTTTCACCTTTAGACTGCCAACATTTTTTTAAAAGTGGTTTGACCAAAAAAAATATATTTTTATAAGTTTTACACTGAGGGGCAAAAGTATTTGTACATCCTTTAAAGCGGAACAACTTTTTTCAAATTGTTTTTCTGCAATTAACCTTTTATCCCCCACTGTACATGACACATGGTAAATTGCAAGTTTTGTCAATGTCCCAAAAGAAATACCCCCGGCAGCCTAGAGGTTAAGATTCGAAAGAATTCGATAAATCTCATAAGTAGATTACGATGATCCATTAACGTTGTCGAGCATGTAATCGATATCTTCCACGTTTAACCCTTTGCACTCGGAATGTCTAATTTTCCATACATTCTGTCCCTTCAGAGGAGACAGTCGAGTCCAGGGGGTTAAGAAACCAAAAAACAGGGTAGACGCAACTAGTGGTTCGCGTCGATCTAGTATCAGTCGGTGTTCTCCACCGAATATTCGGTAGGATAAATTCTGTGCATGATCCTTAGACTGCGAATTTGATGCATTTATAGCTCACAGGGTTCTATGAAATACAATAAAAGGCAAAACTTTCATCCGGATCCAATGAGTTTTCTATTTCAGTCTGAACCCAATAAGGTACTTAACAGGAAAAATAAATTTCTACATTTGCGCCTGTCTTTATAAATTACTTTAGAAAATGTTATTTTGCATTAAAATCCGCAGTATAATGATCATCGACGAAGATACGCGACGCGTCTCGATACGATCTACCCTAGGGGGGGTGGGGGGTGGGGGGGTTGCACTCTCCGTAAAAGTCGCGAAGATCGTACGATCCGCGCGATGCGCCTGGCGTGGCCGCATTCCAGCCGGCGGATTGGCCGATCCCGTGCGTCATAAATCTACATGACGTTCCAGCCTTTTTTCGCCCTTCGTATAGCCTTTGGCATACGTAACCTGCCAACGGCAACCCGTACATCGTGTGGTATCCCCCTTCCTTCTTATTTGTTTTTTCGATTTGCGAATTCGGAGGTCCCCTCCCCCCCCCCCCCCCCCCCCCCAACCTCGTTCGTTCGTCGATAGGTTCACTCGTCGAGAGACATCACGAGATATCATTGTTCTCGGACCGTAAACGAAATTTCATCCTGAATCGATCGACGAATCGCGGAGGGGTTTCACGACCGGTTCGACACACTTTGCGAATTTCTTTCATTCTGTATAATACGCCCTGGGATCGACGAATCGAGTTTTTACCATGCGCCAGGTGCATCCTGCTAACCCGAAGGTACCATTCTAGGCCCTGTTATTCGCGTTGAATCTCGCCTGGACGCGATATTTCCCGTGATATCCTAAACGCTCGGAAGATATCGCCCATTCGCTGCAACAATGATATAACTAAAAATTTTCAGTTCTTCAGTTACTAGTACAGAAAAAACAAACGGTTGTTGTCCGTATTTCTTATCGTATTTCAATAAAACTATTTTTAATCGAGAATTATGCGTGGTTAAACAAATGGGCCTCATATTCGGCTAGTTTACTGTAATTGTTTACCTGCACCGCGGGTCGACTGGCATCCCCAGGATCGTCCAGAACGTGTCGGGGGCATAGCTTGCGACAATGGCCGGCATCGATTTGGATCACCTCCCCCGATATTCCTGTAAAACAAACAAAAAGTCGATGTGGAAGGCGTGGGTTAAACGGTGTTCGGTGGTATGCAACAGCGGGGCCGAAGTTCAATGAAATGTCGGGATACACCGCAACGGACAGCAACCGTTTGGCTGAACGTGCGTGCGTGCGTGCGCGCGCGCTCGCCCCGGCGAATTCCGAGGAAAAATGAGACGCGTGTGTAAATCCGAATGGCGCCGTTGAAAATGTACAAGTTGTATGGCGCGAAACGTTGACAAGATATATAAGAAGAAGGTAGAGAACCGTCTATAGTGTAACCGTGGTATTTTTGGCCGGAACGCGTGGGACACGGCGGAATGCGTGTGGATTCCTCGGTGATTCACGATATATAACACCCTGATGTTGTCGCGTGTACTCTTCCGCCGCCGCCGCAGCCGCAGCACACCTTTCCGCGTTTCTTCCTATAAATGGCGGCGTTATCCACGGTGATCTCGAGCAAGATCGCGGGGGTCGCTTGAAAAAGAAATCTTTCTTGGTCACCAAAGACACACACACACATAGACAGTTCACGAATTGAGTCGGGTTTAATTGACAATTGATTGCGCGACCACCGAAGCGACGTGATTCGTTCCTTCGATTGGTCGTTTCGCGGAACGTTGCTTTCGGCGAAACGTTAATTCTTCGATCGTGACGGTATTAACATTCTACGAATCGGAGGCCCGATCACTTCTTCCCTTTGATCGTCGCCGCTAATTTATCTCTATGACGACGACCAATCGAATCGTAACGAGATTGATCGACGCCCGATATTCCCGTCCATTTTAAATCCTGCCTGTTTTCGATCCCGCGAAAATGTCGATGCTTGAAATCATGTCGAATCTTTTAGACCGTCAGTAACGCAACACCGTCACCGGACGTATCATCCTCTCGATCGCGGAGTCAATTGATTGAACACCCGATATTAATTCGCCAGATCGGATCTAGCGAGACAAGGCCGCTCGGCGTTTATCATTGATGAGCCCTAGGGCGGTGAAACGAGTATCGAGCGAACGCGATTTCCACTTGGCCGGCCCGCGTTGAAATTACGCAACCTATGACAACAGGTTCCTTTTGTTTTGTTCTTTTCGACAGAATCGTCGACGATCCGTTTAATATAGCTGCTTCAAAGATATAGCGTTAGCCATAAACGACCCTTGAACCATTAGTACTCGATCATCGGGGGCCCATAAGTCCCACTGCACACGATATAAGGACTTGTTTAATTACATTAAAACGGAAAAACCGATCCCAAATTGACGTCGTACGCCCCTGAACGATGGTCGAGCACAGTTTTTACAAGTCAAGGGTATCGAGTGACAGGATTAGGCTACCGAAAGACATAAACTTTAGGGTCGATCAGGTTTATGGCTAACGCTATATCTTTGAAGCAGCTATACATACACCGTGAACGTATCCGTTCAGCACTGTGACCAGGTTCCATCCCTCGTCTCGAATATTTTTTGGTAAGTCGCTTACCGTATCCAACGTCGATCATCTTTTCGTGTCTCGCGCAGCAGACATGTTGCCGGGCTTCCTCCCTGCGTACTCTTCCCTCGTTGTCCGGACTTTTATCGCAGATCGCTAAAACAAAAACGTGCCCCGATAGCAATGGTCAATGAAGAGCTAGACCTAGTCTTGTGCCGGGTTAACCTTTAGACTGCCGACATTTTGTTCATAAATGAGTGGTATTTTGTTACCAAAAATTTAAATTTATTATTTTTTGCATTAAAAATATATAGATAATATATGCACTACGCTGAATTTCGAATTTCATCAATGTCCCAAAAGGGATACTACCAGCAATCTAAAGGTTAAATACAATTTTTATGGAACAGTGGTTCATGGGCCAAGTCTAGTCGATTCAAAAACAGTGTCAGATTAAGATTCTGAATTGCATGGATCAAGCGAGAAGATGGTGGGAGATGAAGCAGATGAGTCAAAATTGAAATGTAGAACGACGTGTGCCTACCTAATCGTAAATTGGCGAGACAAACTAAGGTGAAGCCACCGAATACGGCCCACCGACCCCTCGTGAGTCTTGTTCGCATCAGTACGAGTCACGGGCGAACGTATCGAGAAATCGAACGCGATTTACCCCGTACAGCTTGGACGGCGATCCCAAAAAGATGAACGGAACTATATAGAAAAATGTACGATCGAGGGAAAACGCACGTTCGGGGAAAAACAACTCGACGGTGTATCTTTTTTTTCTTTTCCTCGTGATCTTTGTCGACAGAGAGGAACCGTGGACAAAATTGCGTTACGATGGCCGCGAGGATGCGCCCCCGGGGCTCTAATTCGTGTCACAGTGATCGTTGGTGTTTTAACTGATTCCCTCTGAGAGACGCCCGGATGACTAGAAGATTACAAGGTGGTGGTTACACGCGATTCTACTTGGACTCTCGGCACGTAATAACTCGACGCATGCAATATGCGGTAGTCCAGAGGCACAGACGCACCGTTGCGATCGATCACGATCGGTTGTTGCCCACGCAGGTTGCGATCTGCGAGAAGACTGGCCCGTCTGGAAGCCGCTTGAATCTCGCTCAGACGGAGAGGCGTCCGGCTGACAGGCGGATCTCTATTAATCACGTTTGGTACGGGAACGTCGGCCCGGTTCGTGATGGCTAACCCCCGTCCGTCCATCCATCCATCGAGTCCTTTCCCTCTTGCCCTGCCCCGCGATCGCCGATCATGCCATCTTGTCTCCGTGCAAACGTCAACATTCCAGACCGATCCAGACGTTCATCTCCCATCTGCCGGTCTTCCCTTTATTATTCTTTTCCTTCTTCTGTCCTCTTTTGTCGCTCAATCGTATCACCTAATGACGTCACCTGTCTCTCGGGAATGAGCTATCATTCGGTAACGGTCCCATCGTTGATTGTTCCTCGATGTTCCCACAATGTTGCATCCTTTCCACTTCTGGGACATTCCTACCGTGAATACAATGTGTCAACGTCGTTTCGGGCGAATGATTCGCGGTTGTAGCAAAATTAACTACCAAAGCGTCGTTTGGGCATTATCAATGTCTTGAAATCGATGGATAATTACTTACATGGGAGACTATACCTCAGTTTAGATGAGTATTTTTAGTTTTCCTAGGTTAGTCAATGATTAACTCGATAGGATCATATACTCGGGTAAATGAGCTGAAATACCTATGGTTGTATATCGGTGTTGGCCTAATAAGGTATCCCGTTTACACCAGCTGGATCGAATACCTTGTATACATAACCGATAAATTATATTTCGAAAAATTGAGTGTTTCATGTATGTATACTCAACAAGTTGGATAACTTATAAGTGTAGAAGGATCGATACTTCATTGATATTCGAGTAACCGCGTATCTTAAACAGCCTGTTTGCATTAAATACCATGTACGTCACTAAAAAAGTCATTTTAGCCGTGCCTGCCTCCATATTTTTTACTTACGTATTATTGTTCAGTGCGAATTTCTGATCAATTTTATTTTCCAGCCGCGTGTATATGCTACCCGGCATACACGTGTCTGATGGGTAGTATTTCGTAGGAAATACTTCTCCGAAATTCTAAACGTTTCATATATTCTGTTAATAATTATTCTAATTCCAAAGTAATTGTAGACTTATTTACGCGTAAGGTAAAAATATGTACATACATTGGTTTTTTTTCGAGAATCTTTAATGTTGAACATTCTTGTTGTTAGCGATTCATAGGTTATGTTTTCATATCAGTTTCCTCGTTCTAAAGATTAGTACCATTTTGCAAAGGTTGTTTTTGCGATGTAATGAATTGAATCTATGTAGTTAACGCAACTAACGGAATTATGGCTCACCGATTAATTAATATAGTTTTTTAGAATGACTTCGAAATCGAAAGACAGCGGACGAAAGAGTTTGTCTCTCTGGGTCACGTGTGAAAAGTGTCAAAGCACCTTAACGCAAAAAGATGTAGCCGAGCATGATGCTAATTGTCCACTTAGTTCAGAAAAATGGAGCCACGATTTCATTTACAGTGGCATATTACATAGCACTGTAGAAATATATAAATCACAGGGTATGTACAATTAATGCTTTCAGTATTACCTGTACAGTTTCTATACATATATATTTTTTGCATAGAACAGCCAAAAAATATTTCTGAGAGAGCATTAGATGACATGGTATTTCTGTCACAATCTGCATTACAACTATGTGAGATTGCAATAGGTGATCCTGTTGTGGTTAGTACGAATGGGGGTATAGTGGTTAAAACTGCATGGCCAACCAAAGACAAAACAATAACAAGTGTTTCATTAACAAAGCCTGGTAATTGATACAATGTGTTTTTTAACATAAAGAAAATAAAAACTTTTCTATCAATATATTTCTTACAGCCATAGATTTGAATAATCTACAAGGCCCGGTTAAAGTTCAGAAATTAAACTGGCCTGTTAGCATTCCCAGAGAGTTTATAATCTCTAATGTTGGAAAGCATTTATCGCCAGAAGTAACTGGAGAATTTAATGTGCTATTAAAAAACCATAATGAACAAAAAATATTTCTTGTGGGCAATAAATTTAACATACCTTTTTATGGAAAGCGATTAACTTATGAGATTATACAAGTTAAATTGGATACAAATACAGATAATAATTTATCAGAACAACTTAAACAATTGAATTTAACAACAAATCAAGAAACTGATATCCAACTTTATAAAGCACTTTATAATACCAAGTGGACTATTTTAAGCAAAGAAAAAGAGAAAAAAGATGAACCTAAGAAATCTAAATATAAAATAGAAGATGTTGGAGGATATGACAATCTAATAGAAGATATCAAAGATGTCCTTAATGTTGGTCTTGGTAGATGTAAAAGTATTGGAGATTTTTATATTAGTAAAGGAGTATTATTGTATGGTACTGCGGGTGTTGGTAAATCTACTATTGCAAGTGCCTTAATATCCGAATATGATCTTAGCTCTTTTACTGTTTACAGTTCAGATATTTATAGCAAGTCCCTTGGTGAAACAGAACAAAAATTAAAGGATATTTTCATGGAAGCTAGAGCTAAAGCTCCGAGTATAATTTTAATAGAAGAGATTGATAGCTTGTGTCCTAAAAGGAGTAGTTCAACTACAGATCACGAAAGGAGGGTCCTCTCCCAACTAATAGCACTTTTTGACGATATACAAAATACAAACGATAACGTTGTAATATTGGCTACGACTTCAAAACTCGAGCAAGTGGACAGTTCTCTTAGGAGACCTGGTAGAATCGATAAAGAATTTGAAGTGTACGTGCCTACCCGAAATATGCGAACTGAAATATTACAAAAGTTGTTATTGAAGATGCCAAACACAGTGTCTGCAGAAGACATAACGAACATCGGGTTTGTTACTCATGGATTTGTCGGCGCAGACTTGTACGGCCTATGTTCTCAAGCAATTTTAAATGCTGTAAAGCGCCAACAGAAAACAAATGCAGCTTCTGAATCTTCTTCGAAAGTAACATCCCTTGATTTCAATCATGCTTTGGCCGTGATAAAACCATCAGCTATGAAAGAAGTCTTGATAGAAGTACCGAACGTCAGGTGGTCGGACGTCGGAGGACAGAAAGAATTAAAATTAAAATTAAAACAAGCAGTTGAGTGGCCGCTACGTCACCCTGAAGCATTTCAAAGAATGGGCATTACTCCGCCTAGGGGAGTTCTTATGTTTGGACCTCCTGGTTGTTCTAAAACATTAATCGCTAAGGCTCTTGCAACAGAAAGCAAAGTTAATTTCTTGAACATAAAGGTAACTCGTTAATACGTATTTTTACCTATTTCAATCGAATGATTATTATCCTATAAGATTATTTGCAGGGGCCAGAATTATTTTCAAAATGGGTTGGTGAGTCTGAGAAGGCTGTAAGAGAAGTATTCAGGAAAGCTAGACAAGTGTCCCCTTCGATAGTGTTTATCGATGAAATTGATGCGTTAGGAGGTGAAAGAAGTTCCTCCTCTAACAACGGAAGTAACGTGCAGGAAAGAGTCTTGGCACAATTATTAACGGAACTCGATGGAGTCACTGCGTTAGGAAGCGTCACATTAGTCGCCGCAACGAATCGTCCTGACAAAATCGATAAAGTCAGTAAAATACTAGTATAAGTTTCAATCTAACACACTGTTCTGTGTTAATAAGAACACGATACTTTCCTTAGGCACTCCTCCGACCGGGTCGGTTAGATCGTATAATATATGTACCATTACCTGATGACGAAACTAGACAGGAGATTTTCGACATAAAATTAAAAAACATGCCGATCACTGGAGATGTAAATATACAAGATCTAGTCGAGCTTACTGAAGGATATTCTGGAGCGGAAGTTCAGGCTGTATGCCACGAAGCTGCAATGAAAGCATTGGAAGAAGATTTAAATGCTACCATAATCACCAAAGAACATTTTAAAGCGGCACTGGCCATTGTCACTCCTCGAACTCCGCCGTCATTAATCAACTTATACAACAACTACTTGAATAAAATATATTAATTGCGAATGTGACTCCATTCGTTCATAGAGCCAATCGAATATCGAATTACCGTTCTGTTATTTTCATCGCGGACTTCACACTCTTACTTTAATCGACACTATCATTTCGAAACATTAACAAAATTTACAATTGTATTACTGCACAAAACAAACCAAAAATGTCAGTGGTCGTAAAGTGTGACCGCCCTTACGGTAAGACAGAATTAAAAAGAATTATTCAAAGGTGTGCTGATTTTCGTATGTATGGGTAGGACACCACGTATTATTATCAAATCACGTTCAGTTTCTTGGATTATCCATACAATATTGAATATGAAATTGGAAAAAACGAAGTTTATGTTAGCAAATTATGAAATTTCTTGGTAATAATATTCGGTGTCCCACTTTCTACGTTGGACAGTTAATTGGAAAAGTGTTTGTTTCAGTTGTGGTTGTTGCCCACCAATGGAACCACAATGTCCACCATGTCCTCCGTCGTGTGCGGAGCCTATAATATGTTGCTCCCCGTGCTGTAGTCCATGCGGTGGAAGTTGTCCACCGCCTACACCCTGTTGTCCCCCTGCGCTACCTTGCCCCCCACGACCTTTTATCTGCCCACCTTGTGCTTGTTATCCATGCGTCAGCTGCGCACCTATTCCTAAGCCAGTGCCTGCTCCTCCCGAATATGGACCTGTTATAAGAACACGTGTCACCACCGGTGGACTTTTCTACACGGGAACCATAAAATGCTATCCTTGCGTACCACCTGTTTGCTGTCCCTAACTACCCTTCTACCTGTCTCGTACCCTAATTCCCGGCACGTCCATTTCCCTCTCGTATTTCTGTCAAAATTACAACGTTTTCTGTACAATTCAAATAAACGGTATGTCCCATCGTAAAATACCCCTCGTAATCTATTATAATGGTGTACATTATGGGACACTGCTTGCTTCTTGTACGAATCTATAAGAAACAAGCGTTGTTTCTCTAGCATTCAATTTTTTTTTCAACCTATAAAGAATCTTTTATTCAATGTTTCAATTCTTTAAAAATTTATAAGTGAATGGCTTGCAAATAATAATGGAGAAAGAACCTTGTAAGTTGTGTCCACGGGACCATACGACTAGGTCCAGTTGCACGGTAACGACATGCACCTGGCCTTTGTTAAACGTCGAACGGCCCAAGGACTGTCAGGAGTATTATCCCCCTATTAAACGAATAAAGGCAGTCAGGTAGGGACTTAATTACTCCGTTATGCATCTCTATAGTGCTTTATTACGTCTCTATTTGTTACATTATTGCAGATTCATACAGCCAGCGAATGCACCATGGGGTCTCACCCCATGGACGAATTTAATGTATCGTCCTATGATACAGGGTGGCTTCAAATATTTTGGGGTAAATAAATTAATGCCTCTTGGTCCCCCACCAAATTCACCTGTACTCAGTCGTCCTGTTCCTGTTAGACCAACTGATTGCCCTGGAATGATAGTATATTGCGATAGTAGAATCTGCACCAAATAACCGGAATATGTATGCAGCTGCATGTACATTTATACAATGTATACATGTGACATGACTAAATGTGTACTATATATGTATGCATGTATGTACACCAACGTAAACATGAAGACGTATATCTAGATTTAATAAATAAAATGTATATAGTATAATAAATAATACTGTCGTCTAGTAAAGATGGTAAATTTCAAATTATCGATAACGTTGCCAGATGTGGATTGAAATTTGTGCAGTTTTTGCGTGAAAATTTATATATATATAAAGAGTAAGGTTATATTTTCATTTATATACTTGACGCAGATTTAATATTAGTACTTCAATACGTTTCAACTAAATACCTAAATGATTAGTATGGACGCTATATGGAATCATATGCAACTGGAGCGTCCACCCAATGCAACTTGTTGCATCCAACGTGCGAAATTTGGTTAAGTATATTCTGACCTATTTTCTGTAAACGTTTTAACATGAAAACATTCGAATCTAATAGTTACTTACTTTTTACTACTATCAGATGCAACAGGATTTTTAACTGTCCTAGAAAAAGTTCTAAAAGATTTGCATTCCCAAGAACTGTTGCATAAGGATGCAGCAATTCTGAGTAGACTAATTTATCGTATGAAAAGTAAATTTCGAAATGACAAGGGTGTGAAAGCAATGTCTAAAGTTAATAGAGGTCTTTTGAATTACCTCTCTTTATCTCTTGAAAAGGAGTACGAAAATTTGAGAAATTATGTTGAAATAGATAATAACTATATTAAATTACCTAGTAAGCAAATGGTAGAATACGTTTTGGTCAGAACTCAAGGATTTGCAAAGTTAATGCTACGCATAGAGGAGGTTTCAAAACATGCTGCTCATTTTCTTCGAAGTAGAATAGCTTTAGGTCATGCCTGGTCTGTAGCTACTATTGCATTCTCTGTTGTTAGCAGAATATGGTATGTTATTTTTGTGTTGTACAGTGAAAATATATTAATTATATCTACAATAAATCTGTATTATTATATAGGATATTATCAAGGCATTTAATAAAAAGATCTTGTACATGGTACAATGATTTATATCAGTATTTAAAATTATTCAAGCTGTCAGGTTTAAATTGGCTTCCTTCAGGGTTTGAACTTCCTACTGATTTAAGAGTATGGCTAGCAGTACCATGGATAGATGAACCTATTCCAAAGTAAATATAAAGAACAAATATTTTTTATTATGTAAATGTGTCACTATTAATTATTTGCTTTTATACAGTGTTCCTAGTAGTCATGGACTGAAAAATACAATGTTCAAATTAATTGTACCTCGTCAATATGATTTAGATGAGGAATTAGCATGTGACAACAGCACAGAAGTAAAATGTGAAACTGTTTCTCCATATTCACAGAAGAAAAGTATTGTACACGAGAAGATAGTAAAGGATGAACAAAATGTTGGTACCGACAATGACATAGGAGGTATGAAGATTGAGTTATTAATATTAAGATATGTTATAGACAGATAGAGTGCTATTGAGCCATTGCTTCTCTTTTGTAGAAATTCTAGATCGTCATTCTTTTAAATTAAAACAATATAAACAAGAAAGAAACATGCCTATAGAAGAGAAACACGAAAGTATCATAGAAATGGAAGAAATAAATGATCGGAATGCAGAAGACCACGGTATGAGCATAAAACGCGAAAATTATGGAATCAAACCAAACCGTTTATACAAAAAGAAAGATTCACAGAAAGTATTAACGTTAGATAATGTTAAGAGCAAGTCAGACTTGATAAATCTTCTGAACAAAGAATCATACCCGGGTTTAGAAAAATTACAATGGAACATAATGAGGAATAAAGGCAAGAAACTGTTAAATAAGTTGGATGCATCCAATGAAACGAATCGATCAAATTCATATAAGAAAGTAATCAAATCTATGCATCGATGGATGATCTGAATAAAAATGTACAGTGAAATTTTTGCAAGATCGATTGTCTCGAAAGAATAATTGCAAAACAGATTTTATACTTTTTACGAAAAATGTTTTATTTTCTTGCCGTAAATATAAGTTCATAAATAACGAAACTACAATTGACGTGGAGCTTCGAATCAATAAAGTTCAGTTTGAGAGTCTTTTATGTATTTACTGATTGACTATAATTGACTTATAGTAACTATAAGCGAAATTATAGTACGTTAAATATTTATCTCGGTGTATACACGTGTTACAACGTGAAATTATTGAAGCGCCTAGCCAAAAAAACAAAACAAAAATGCTGTGCAATTTTATAAAATCAACGTGTGGATGTTAAACAATGCCGTCGATTAATTATTGTGCATCGTAATCCGGGTGCAAGCGTATCGTATAACGGCGGGGCCTCGTCCACAATTTCAGTCCAACGTCGTACTGCCTCTTCTTCATGTTGTTGAAACAACAAGCCCGAAATTGTCGAGTGCCGCATATGTCGGCGCATTCTCTGCCGCACTGGTCGCACGACAAAGTCCCTCCGATAGTCCACAACGTGCACACTGCAACGTAAAACGTCTTGCTTACATCTCTTATCATGCAATTTATATGGCTCGAAGAAGAAAAAACTGCATTTATGGATGCCGCAACAGGACACCCACGTTCTATAATGAATGTTAAACAAGTAATTACAAGTTACTAGATTTATATGCCGCGCCGAGTAACACGGAAATCGATCACAGTTCCTTCAACTTTTCGAATATTCCGATCAGGATACTATGCATTCGGAATAAATCCATACGGAGAACTTCGTTAATGAAAAAGTTAACACCTGGGACAGCTAATTTTTGTTACTTATAGAATTAAAAGTATTTCCTCTGGACAGGTTTCTGGAGTAGTTAACGAGAAGATCTTAGACATAACGATACGCTGGCGACTGCTTTGGGTAAGACACTGTTTGATGGGATTATCTCCTTAAAGAAGAGATTAAACTGTTCTCGGTAATCTCGTCTATTTCGGAATCCTTTGATGCACCGGTGATTTTACAATTAATAGAATATTCTTGCATTTAATTGCAATTGATATTACGTGAAATTTGAATGATTTATTAAAATTGAAAATAATGCTTACCTATGAGAAACAGTATTATGCAAGCACAATTCATCTTCATGTCTTGTAATCCGATACTGAAACCCTTAAACAATATACGAATAATTTTATTCCGTTCCGTATATTTTAATTGGTACCATCCGAAATAAAATAAAAAATTGGAGTTATTATGGTCGAATTGTTTCATTATCTATCGCCAAGATCGACCGATCTTTCACTTCGTGTAATTTTGTTTTTGTAAAAAAGCTGTTGTAGTTTTCACAATGACAATAATGTACAATTTAAACTGTTCAAAAGAACGAAAGAATAGAGCCTGCGTAAACCGCGAAAGGAAATGTTTCAGAGAAACGAAGTATTTGAAATATAGTGCTGATCTTAAAGATATCAACTCACCAGTCCTGCAGGGATGAGCGTCGGAGACCAAGTGATAATCCTGCGAAGGACCGCCACCTCAAGATATAGTCCCCCACCAGCTCCTGTCGTCTCCTTCGTTCTAACGCACACGCTAAACAAAATTTCGCCTCCAGCATCTTTATACAAAAATGGTGAGATATTTTAGAAAATCTATCTAAATGAAATGGAGTAGAATGTACAATAAGATTACACGTTATGAAAATATTTTATAATCGACTTTTAATATGTCGTTAGTAATATTAATATACACGGAAAGGTAATGACGGTGTAGGTGGTTATAGACGTCTGTTGGTGACTCCTTGATAAGGTGCTCGTTTGCGACAGAGATTGAGCTGAAATATGCATAAACAAAGAATAATTATGTATACAGACGTCAAGAGTATGAAATGGACCATGTGATACCATCGTAAATAGCGCAAATATATTCTTTTTTGATCGTTAAAACCATTCGAACCGGGATAATAGACAATCCTCTCTCTTCGTTTGTATTCCGTTTGCGGAATAGAGACCTCGCAGTCCAGTAGCATCGGTTCGAAAGTATTCCTGATGATCACGACTTTGACGGAAAGATCCTTCCTGTACCATTCAGTTTTCTCAGTTCTGTCATAGTAATCATGAACCTCGACTCCCTCCACGTAAAATTTCAAAAATGGTCGCGGTTGTGCCCCGTTCACCACGCACGTGAGATTCAAGTGAGTTTCATTGAAGGAAGAAACATGAATGGTTGCGTCTTTTTCTGGTGCTACAAAATAACATCGTGATTCAACAATCCCCTAAATATTTCCCAAAATAATTTCTATTTCTCTTCTTTCCATTTCAGATTACTGAAATTTTAACAATACCGTAAACGATCATTCTTGATCTCTTCGAGTCTTCTTCCTGAAATGTGCTGATCGTGCACGTATATTCACCGCCCATCTCGACGGTAACCGTTCTTAAACGAATGACAGATCGCGAATTCGGCTGCCTTAAATTTTCTTCGGGATATTCAGCCAACCCGTTTATAACTCCGACATCCTGTGGTAACACTATAAACATACATATTTATTAGAAAGAAGTCGCTTCGCCTTCTTTAATTACTGTGATTAGAATTAAAATTACTCGGTGGTATCCATTGATAAACCTGGTCCATATTTTGATACCATTTCACCACAAGACCATTTTCGTCCGATCTAACGTCGTATACGCAAGACAGATCGATGGGTCCGGTTCCATTTCGTACTACGCGTGGTAAATTCAACGCATTGATCTTCGAGGCATGTGAGTCTAAAAAATGTATTTATCGTTACGAGATTGTAATTAGGTTTATGAGGTAGTATTTCAATTGAGAGGATATCGATTGAACTCGTCCTAAAATTAGAACGTAGAATGTATACGACATACACTTTAGAGCATACATGACACATGATTCTATCGCGTTAGAGCAGAACCGTAGGCAACTTTGAACGTGTCGCAGGGAACGCGTGTTTTAGGATTTACCAAGTATTCAGAAATGGTAGGAATTTACCTGGGAAAGGATTCGATATTATAATAGTGGTTAATAGAGAAATCGTGTACTTCACCAACATCATTTTCAACGAAGACCCGTTTTCAGACTGATGCACAATTAGGCATGCTTCGTTAAACTTAAATCAAGCGCAGGCGAAAGATTCTGCGCAGCCACCAGACTATAGTGCTCGTTGTATAAACATTTACACGATCAAAATTATTGTTAGAAATTTCGTTTATAAGTCAAGATGCTTTATTGATAGATAATTTTTTCCATATTTTCTTACATAGTTCAGTATTACAATCCGTTATAGCGAAGACAAGCCGCCAATTCTTTGAATAGTTACAGACGCTCTTTATGGTTTCGTTTATCCCCAATAGATGGCAATTAAATATGTTTTCCAATAGTGTTAGATTGCTTTTAGAATCCTCCTACAGTGGTATTATACATTAATAATATTCGGCTATAACTTTTATAATTAATATTTTGTTTTTTAAATATGGGCATAAAAATATATTTTAACCGTATCGTCGTAGATGGCGCCACGAGTCCCTTAACCACTTTAAGTCAAGAATAAAGAATGGAATTAAAATCCATTTAAAATTGACAGAAAAGTCAATTCTTGGTGCATGATACCGACTCAATAGAATTGAACGAATAATCTAGTATTATGACAAAAAATATTTATTAAGTGGCTAGTTACGCAGTTTTTCTGTATCCACCATGGAATATCACGGCATAAGAGAGTTCTCGTTTCCGTTGAATTGTTGGGCGTTCGAAATGGATCAACTACTTTGTGAAATTACAAGTAAATATATTAAAACTTTTTTGATTGAATAATGCACCTACTTATGCAGTAAGCAAGCAATAGAACAAGATTGGGATTTTCAGAATTTTGCATTAGTTTTTCAAATTTACAATTACGCACGAGTATCCACTCTATTCGAATTCATGGTCGTCAGTATACAACTGACTTTAACGTTCCTGTCATTCAAATAGTGGACACGAAAACAAACGGTGATAGTCTTCGTTGCTGACTTTATATTGTTATAAATCAATACTATTTTATCAATAATGAACGATGATCCAAAAGAGGTTTTATCTCTTTTAAATTCCATGGGTTTCGTGGGAATTACCGCGCAACAATTGAAAGGTTTTATGAAAGGTGACACGATGAATATTTTATTTCTGTTTCTGTAACCGTTATCGTTTAAGTGTTTCATGTGCCTTTTAGGCAGTGTTGTTACACAGTAATATTAATTTGCATTACTGTTATTACCAGATTTGAAATTGTACAGAAAAGTAAAAGAACGCGAGAAGCAACAAAGAAGAGAAGAAATTACGAAAAAGATCATAGATAAACAACAAAGTGATATAAAGAAAATTCTTAGAGAACAGAGGAAACAGTTTTGTTCAGCTGAAAATATTGTATCCACTGAGTCCTCTAATTCTTATGTTGACAATCCTATTGTAAAAGTAAAAGTACAATGCTTATCCAATGAAAAAGAAAACACAGAACCCTTGAATTCTGAAGAAAGTCATTCAGGTACACAAAAAAAATTAGATGTTAGAAAACCAAAGTCCAAGATATCATCTGATCATTACAGTGTTAAACCCACTAGTGTGTCCTATGATAATGAAAGTGCTAATATCTGCTTAAAAAGTTCTAAAAAATGTCCAGAGTGTTTGAAACAGGATGCTTATGACACAAAGAAACATAAAACAAAAGCAGACAATGATAAATTTGTGCATCATGTAGAATCAGCATCTTTACAGCCCCATAGACCTATGAGTGCTCCAAATATATTGGAACAAGAGCAAGAACGTGTTGGTAGTAGTCAAACAAAAAGTATATTATCTACAAAGACCTCACAGTCTGGAAGAAAATCCTGTAAGATACATATGTTCTCTACTTAGAGAATTTAGAAATCAATCATTTTTACCTTATTGTCTTTCCCTGGAGAAGCTAAACATGCAAGTCTGAGGTGGGCAATTCGTGAAAAAATGTTAGGTGGAGATCCCCATCCCATGGTAAAGGGTTTGAACAAATATGATGGCACATTTCTTTTATTTATTCTTCCTAAAGTACATTTTACCTTTCAGCCTGTTCCCAGGAAGTCAGTCAGTATGCCAACATTAAAGAAGAAATGACCTTCGTTAAATAATAGGAGATAAATTTTATACTAGGAACAATTACTTGGAAGGAAAATAATTGTTATAATTGCATCTCATTTAAGATTACTCACTGTTAATAAAAATAATTACAATGTGATTGGTAATAAACAGTGGTTTAATTTGTTTCTTGACTGGATTTTATTGCTGGTTGAGTCTGAACTTTTTGATCAATTCTCCAAAATCTGGTCTGTTTAGCTGATACAGAATTTTGTCTTCGATTAAACGTGCAGCTCTTTCAGTAAGTACTAAAGTATTGTGTTTTAGCATACTGTATACATTAAGACCTAGAAAATAAATAAAAATGAAATAGTATGGAAATTAAATCAAGATTTTTTTGATCTTATTAACTGCAATCTTACCATATACAGGCATTAAATTCACATGCTTTATATTATCTGTTGCTGCTGTTATGTTTAATGGCATGATATCTTCAGTATCAACAAAAAGCACAGAAGGCCCCCAGTTTCTTTCTTCAATTAATTGTTCAATGTAAGACTGTTCTTGTGTTGGAATTTCTAGATCATTAACTATGTATAGATCATCCTGAGCAAGTTTCACAGACAATGTACATGCAAGACCAGTAACACGTGTAAAATAGGGAAGCATATAAAAATGAGGTGTTGGAGATCTGGGACCATGTGCAATACCACCACCTATCCATAATGGTGAACGTATACTTCCATGACGTGCACGACCTGTTCCCTTTTGTCTCCAGGGTTTTCTGCCACCACCCCTTACTTCTGCACGAGTTTTTGTATGTGCGTAACTCTGAAATCAGACATTGTCATGATTTGATCTACTTACTTATTTGAAAATTTGTCATTCTTCTTCACTATTTAAAATGATACATATAATAGTATATAGGCTTAAGACAAATGAAATGTTCAATTTAATTCTTAATGTCAGAAATCATTGAAGATAATGTATGAACATTGTAATTACCACATAACGATACATCTTTTGCCACCGAGCATTCTGGGAAATAATATCTATTCTTGGTGCAGCTGCATACACATCAGGGTGCAGGATCATTAGTCCTAATCTTTTCCTTTCGACTGTGTTTAGATTATCTAACCATACTTCCCGTGGCTTTTGATACAGAAATTGTTCATTTTCATACTTTTTTTTGTTAATAATTGGAACAATCTCATGAGTAATTTGTTCATTTGTTGCTATCGTGCTACATCTTAACGCCTGCTGTGAATATGCCTGTAGTTTTGTAATAACGTTTCGAAGAATCATTGACATTTTTATTAACAAAGAGTGTTGGTCGTATGTTCATACAATACGTATTATCAAAATGATAACCTCACAATGTATTCCTTCTTTTTCAACTACACATTGTTACAAACTGCTGCACAGTAGTGTAGTACACACCAACACGCTTTCACTCCATGCAAGATGTCGGTGGAAGAAATAACTTTGCAGGTGTCACTACTGTTGATCAGATGAAACTTGTCTGCTTGCATTGCACAACAAACAAATAATTTGAAAATATTTCTTATTGTTATATTCATTAATATCTTTTACTATGCAGAATTTCAATAGCAGATCGATACTGTAAGACGTATTTTATTATACACAAGACAAAAAACATTGTATGAAAGAACACAAACCAATACCCTTTACATATTTTTATATTACTGTATTACATTATCCTGAAAAATGTATGGAAGAAAGGCTTTTAAACTTATAACAGAATTAGATTTATCTGCTGACATTCAACCATTTAATGTAAGTTGCATAAAATTGTATAAAATCAATTGAAAATATGTTATAATTAAAGGTAAATATTTTATAGGAGGTAATTGTTAAAGAAGTTCTACAGGAAATGCACTCCTTATACGATGCAAATATGTCTGATAGGTTTGTACATACTCAGAATCATTTATGAAACAGTTTATTCCTTGGAAGACAGAATATATTAATTTTAGTAATGCCATTCGAAATGAAGACAATGTGGCTTTGTTACCATCAGTTCAACTGAGACACATAGCTTTGACCAGAAACAAGAGATGTGTTCTGGCATATATCTACAACAGAATGAGCAAGTTAAGAGAATTGCGTTGGGAATTAGGAAGTATTTTACCCCCTGAAATAAACACCAATTTGTTGAATGCTGAGAGACAATGGTTTCAATCATATAACAAATCCTTGGCTACGTATATGAGGTCTTTGGGAGAAGATCAAGGATTTAATTTAACAGCTAACATGTTGCCCCCAAAAACTCCTTATGTGGAGGTAAATAAATTAAACATTAACAGTTTTTTCATATTGTCTTCAGATATAAAATCACCTTTTTATTCTAGGTCAAATGTGTAGTAGACTTTGGGAAACTAGAATTGGAAGATGGTCAAATAATATTATTAAAGAAGAATACATATCATTTATTACCACGAGCTGTTTGTGAACCACTCATACGACAAGGTATACTTGAGCATAACAGCACGTAACATATTTTATTCACACTTTATTAAAATAAACATTCGATATATTTTTATTTCTCTCTTCTATGTTGGATAATGCTCCTCTGTACATACCAACAGTAACTACATGAACTTCTATGTATTCACTGAACGATACATACAACTTCTAACGTTTCAGACTCGTATCCAAAATCACGTGTAAAAATTTGTCAACCCGCATATGCATACATGATTTTATTAGGAATTTCCCCGAGAAACTTAAATTCTGCCTGTCGGCACGCAGTCGATTACGAACAGTTCGAAGCTAGTCTGCGCATGGTATACCACGTTTTGCTCTGTGATAGTGTGAATTATACATTTGTTTGTTGTAGGACTTAGATAATCAATGTATAATCTCTGCGCACAAAGTAATACCGCGTTTAAGGTTTCCCTTTTAATCGGATCGAAAGTCAGTTCGCGAACTGTAGTGTGCCGGTCGCCGCGTCTGGAGAGACGTTCTTAATTAACAGGTAACCGACCGCCTGAGGGGCAACGTATTTTTCATTACTATTAAATAAATTACGAAAAAATATACTATGAAATGTTAATACAAAAACAATTTCGAAATTCTCGCGTTTTTGTAAACTTTGAGGAGAAACTCTTACTTGTTAATTGGGCTACCTTATGGATCTCGAGATCTTTGTTTTGCACCTTATTTTTTTTTGTAATTATTACTGGTCTTATTAACGGTTCTCGTGTTCCGGAATTAACATAACTTTACCTCCGTCCTCTTACACAAGTTATTATATTACGAAAGAATCGACGATTTGAACCAAGCAAAGGTTTTATCTCGATTGCGTAATTCTCTTCTTCCATTATTCTTCTCGTTCGTGTTTTCTTTTCTGATCTGTCATAAAGTCAGTTGTTCCGTTTGTGGCGCTTAATAATGAAGCTCGTCGCATACATGAATGACCAAATACTCCTATTAATATATATCTTACATATAAGGGAGTTCAGAGTCTATCACGAGGAAGATACACCAGAACAAAACATCCAACAACACCTTACCTTTGAGTCATCGTACTTTCCCAGATCATGTGAACGCCAAGTATCCTTAATATCTCCGACTTTATACAAAAAAACATACATATAATGAAATGGAGGAAACTCTTTCTCGATACACGTTTTCCTATCCTGTGATTACGGGATGCATCGTTTAATCGGACCTTTTGTCGTATTATTCAATAGCCGTACTTGCTCGTCTCGAGTGCACAACACCTCAAAGTGCAGGTTCAACGGTCGAAAAGTGTACGGCTAAAGGTGCAGTAACAAAATTACTGATATAATGACTCGGTATATATTGTCGGTAAACGATGCAAAGATAATACATTTCCTGAGCTTATCTCGAGCAGGTTTTCCCCCAGATAAATTGGACACCGGTGCTCCCCTCAACAGAGCGTCAATGAAAAAAAAATTTGTTCACGACCTTGTTGTGAAGGACGTCGTGGACAAATTTTTTTTTAATGCAAAGCGTCGTACGTTTTCTTTTTCCGGGTACGCGAACAATTACACGACAGACTACCGTGTTCACAATGTTCGGTTTCGTTACAACATTTCAGACGATTAACTCCTAACGCAACGTAGGCAACCATGGTTGAAAAAATGACGACATCAGGTGAAACGTTCATCGTTGATGAATGATTAGGTAAAATTATATAATTCGTTTATGTCGCCAAGGGCGCGAGATTAAGGCTATCGCTTACAAATGCTTTTACAACTAGCCGTTGTTTTCCATTTGTGAACAAGTGACTTATTCTATGACTAATCGCCCCCATTTATGCCGTTCGGTTCGATTAGCCATTATGTTCGTAACGATGTAACCGACAGCCGGATTATAAAAGAGCGTATACCCTGACAATGGTCTGTTATTATCGTAGCGTCTACCTCGTTTGTGTGATGAACGATTACAGAGGCATAGGTTCTCTTTGTTTTACGGCCGGGTGTCAGTAACCACCATTTGGGGAAAACCGTATTTAAACGACCGATGAATAGACCGAAAACCATTGCCGGCGCTTTAGGGACGTCCCTGCATGGATCTTCTTGGTATTATAATGCGGCAATAGCAGTCGATATTACCGCAAATATTGGTAGAGTTTCAAGATTGGAAATGCCGAATGGAATTTCCGGTGAGTTCGTGTTCTGCTGATTAGCCCGTACGAAAAGAAAGTAGAACGGTGAAATCCGCATCTTCGCGTAGAAACTGCTGAACGTTCGCGTGGAATCGCGACGTTTCTTTAGCCATGGCGAAGGTAATAAAGTATTTAACACGGATAATGCGCAGTCGATTCATACAGAAAATTGGTATGATATAATAAAAATTCTTCCCATTCTGTTAGTCACTATAAGGACGTGTTTCATACACACGATGTCGCTGAGTAATAATTAGCAAATTATTATCAAATAAAAATTGATTACTTGTTTCAGAACCAGTATGTGTATTTATTATCTTTCGAAATGTTGGAACAGGGGATCTGATTTTTATATTTCACGTGCAACGTTATCCTCGTAATCGCGACATTAAATTCCGAACTGTTTACGAGTAATTTACATATACATATGTCACGTAGTACCGTGCACGATAATAAACATCCAAATTGTCGTTCGTGAACCTGCCCGAGACCCACTACCTATGGGAAATTTTTTCTGGAGTTCCCGATTCAGCTTTCTTTTTCTAAAGTGGTTATCTAAAGAATGTCAAGTTAAATCGAGTACACAGAGTATACGTGCAGCTGTCGGCCCTGCCAGAGGACGATGGGTTTTCCCACCCCCTACCCTACCGATTTCGGAGCAACCGTGCCTCTGACCGCCGCCAGGGGCGCTAGCGATCGTCGCGGCCATCGTGGAAGGTTATTCCGCGCGTCGGCGAACGCCATACGGTCAGTTCGTTTCAGACAGCGCGATAATCGACGTTTTACGACGACACAAATATATCGCGATCACGAGAGGTTACAAATCCATTATTTTCCTGGGCATCCTTCCATCGTTGGGAGTAGACGCCAGCGCAGATTATCGTTTCCGTAAACATTCCCGGGCTTCCAATATCCAGTACGCGACGAAAAAACGGGATTCCGTGGCCCCTTGAACGTCCGATTATTCGGTGGAACGAAGTGAACAACTTGCACCGACCGCATCTGCGAACCAGACGAAACGAGAATGCGACGGCAACGAAGAAACGAATACACGTAGAAGAGAAGCAAAGCCACAGCTGTGTTCGACGAGGACCGACGATCGAACTACTCGAGTAAACGTAGCAGTGGCGTCGCTCGCGAACGAACGAAAGTCACTCGAACGGAACGAATCGTGTCGATTAAGAAATACGCGGCGGAAGCGTCGCGCGTGATTTTAGAGGAGAGTACAATCGGCTGGTTGTCGGTACGCGTGCACATATCGCGGCTAGTACAGATCTCTGGTACTAATAGGGAATCATCGAACTAATTCAACGATTGATTCGAAAATGTGGCATCCGTCGAGCAAGAGAAATGTTCCAGAGAGCAGCAGCGAGGAGAAAGGTCACGCAGACTCCGGATTCCTCTCCAGCGGGAATCTCCTGGTCAGTTCGGAGCTGTGCGAGTCGGAATCGTTGACTGCTGACACAACCGCGCCCGTAGCACCAGAACCAATGAGGGCTGACAGCGGCGTGGATCTTGGGCTTAGCGAGAGCCTCAGTCAACTGACGTTGAAGCAAGTCATTTTGAATCCCCTTGCGAGCGGGAAAGTTCAGTCCGAACCTACCGTTGAGCTTACTCCAGTCAGGTCCAACAAGCTCGAGCATCAACGCGAGACGCCGACGTTGCGACACTGTGAAACGCAACGATCACCTCAGACACCGCACAATGAGGAACCTTGGCAGCTCTACTACACACAGGACGACGACGGTGATACGTGAGTAACATTTACTCTGTTATCTATTAGAGATGTTACGCCTAATCTGACTGGTAGGTTACAAAAGGCAAACTTTTTTTTTTAATCAATTGGTACTCGTACGGTGTTTGTTAAGCCTAATTTTTACATGGTATATGGCGACCTTGTATGAGAGTTTACTATAGTGGAACGTGATATAGTGCGGAGTAGTGTTGTTGGTGTCTTTTAATTAACGGAGTTATATGTACGCATTAGTTTTCATTAAAATTTATGTAACTTTACGAGATTACTATACATAGATTACTAAATGTAGACAACCCAGGTATATTTGGAAGGATACAACAGAAGGATGCTTACAATGATTATACCTTTCATTATGAAATGTTTACATTTACGAGTGCCTCGTTTGGACTTGTACTAGGTTGTTTATATTCCACAGCTACGTGATCTATCGAATCATCAGAGAATAAATGTAACTTCATGAGTACACGAATGCTTGTAGTATTAACATCGTTCGTCTTCGAAACCTTAGAACAATTTTTCCCGCATGTGTCATTGCAACGATAATAATTATAGTATTCAAGATTATTACGGTACGCGCGTATGTAGATCTGTCGTCATCCTCGCGAAATCTCGGATACGACTAACGTTGTTTACGCGAGAATGAATCGAAGAATTGCTCCATAGATGTAATTCATCGCGTTTGACGCATGCGCAGTCGCATTGCAACCTGTAGCCCGCGACGCTTTAAAGCAGCGTTTGACGTTTCCAGGTGTATCGATCGAAACTAGGATAATAATAGCACGCTGTGAATGGATGTGATTTTTTCTAACATGGAAACAATGACATTACCAATGTCGAATGTGATTCATCTGTTATTGTTAGATATTTGAAACCTTTAACTTCTGCTTTCATGGTAGGTTAAATTAATTTTTTTCAAATCGTTAATATCATGTGCAACAATTAGTAATGCACTATATTTTTAAGGAAATTTTTAAAAAATCTATACTGTCCTCAGTAACATTCGTTCTTGTTCTCTAGCATTATTTGCCACTTTACAAAAAAGATATAAATTATACCATCAGTTTATTATAATTGCTAGTGGGTTACCTATCATTAAGACTAATAATAACAGAGCGTACGTAAATTCACATTTTATGATCTAACTTATACAAATCTTGAATCCAATAGAAACTTATCATCTGAATGAATGATTTATTACGTTCTTCTTTTCCTTTGCTTCATTTAGTTGCAGTAAATGCATAAAGCTATAACATTTTAACTGTAAAAAAGTAAAAGGGATCGATTAAATAAGGATCGCCCAGTTTTGATCCCACCATCGTTCCGGATAACCGACATTACGGGCAATATTTCACGATAAACACCATCATCACGCACAATTACTGTTTTTACGGGAACATAAAAAAGCATGTTGACCGAAGCAAATATTGTCGCGCGTCATCGCTCGCATACGAATCACTCTACGCGAGCAAGTACGTGTTTTCCATCAATAAGCGCGTTGACCGATTGATCTGTTGCATCGTTGAATTTCATTCTTTTAATCGCGTCACGTGAGTTCATCGTCGTGGACGATGCACAGGCGGCGATTTTTCAACGTCTTCCTGCATTCACTTCCGGTTTCACGATCCGTGGTTACCACCACGTATAAAGTTCGATACACGTATTGAAATGTCGTCCCGTGATTCGCTCATCGACGTGGCCAATGGTTTCGCTGGCGATTGCGCCAGTGAAAAATTGACGTGAATGTAACGAATCACTGACCTTTGCACTCGAGGAGAATAAACGGCACGAAACTGGGGGAAAAATCCAAGCGTTCGCTCGAAAGCGACATTGAATTGTTTGCGTAAACACGTAAGGGATTTTAAATAACGATCCCAGTAGTGGATTGAATCTTATCGTATATACTTGCACAGACGAGGTATAAGAGTAGACATTTCATCCAATGTATTTTCCCATTTTTCTGAGGTTACGTTACCCCATTTCCATTTTAGTGTCACTATCCACCGCAGATTCACCGTTCTGATAACGTAGAGGTCGCTAAAATCATAGAATTTTTAAGGTGTCGGTATTACAGTTTAGGTGGGCCATAAACTCCCATAAGATGAAAAGTCTATTCTTATACCTCGTCGGTGATACTTGTCTCGAGTTATCCATATAAAAGTTTGCACAAACATTCACAGCCTAACTGTAAACGGTTAATAGGTTTTGGGGGTGGGCGTAGCGTTCGGGGGTGTGACTACCTGGCGTTTCTATACCGAATAAGACGGTGGTTAGCACGTTCCTTTTTCATTTTTCAGGCAGCTGCACATAGCAATAGTGCAAGGTTTTCTGGAGGCTGCGTTCAGTTTAATAAGAATGGCACCGCACTCCTGCCTTTTGAATATCCTCAACGACGACGGTCAGTCCCCTTTGCACCTGGCTGTGTTGACCAGGCAACCGAGGATAGCACGCCGTTTGATTCTGGCAGGTGCAAATCCGGCATTGAGGAACTTTCGAGGAAACACCGCCCTTCACCTTGCGTGCGCGACCGGCGATCTGGCCTCGGCCAAGGCGCTCACCGATCCTTTGACACCCGTCGAGAGGAATTACCTTTTGCCCGGCAAGAAAATACCTGGCCTGCCACAGAATCTCGAGCAACGAAATTACGACGGTAAGTGTACGAGCACCGTCATAAATGTAATTGTTTTCGGATCCCTTCCGGTTCCCCGGTTACAGAGGATCGATTCCAATCGAGGGTTGGTACCGCCCAAGAAATTGATAGTTCGTTTCGGTCTTGGTTACTGTAGCCACCATAACCGACCAAATATAGGAACATGGATTTGCAAACTCGTTCCGTTAAATAATACAAAATTTCTTTTCGAAAGTATAAGATTCCGAGGTTGGAGCGCCTAACGGTTCAAGGTGGACACCTGAGTCGCTGGTTGATGTTAGCTTACCAGTCTAGGATTAGGATTAATTCCACCTGTCGCAGACTTTTCCTTTAAAGATCGTTTCAATGTCTCGAGACACCATTTTCTAGCAACAATACCCTTTTGTGTTAATTCCTCCGTACTTCCGTTCTGTTCAAAAGTCGTAAATCATGCCCGGTACCACCTTGTTATTCATAAAGATATAACAAGCGTGCCATCAAGATTAAAAGAATCTTTACGTAAGCCCCATTATCGGGTTAAACAAAAGACAAGGCCCAAGACACCGTACACCGAACCTTGGACCTATTGCAAAACGGGGACGCTTGGAATTGAATGGTCCGTTAACGGAACAACGAAGAGAAAGAAATATACATGCATACATAGTTGGAATATTGAATGCACTTTCATTGCTGGACAATACCAGAATGGGGATGGATCCGGGAACGAGGAAGGAAGCGAGAATGTGACACAGCGCACAGTAGGCCCAATGGCGATTCCAACCGGAAAAGAACTCCAAGAAGAATTAATTAAAAAGAATTATCCAAAAGATAAAAAAAAAGTATTTCGTCATATTTAATTGTTTAAACGTGGAAATTTCAATTTTTATAATAAAATAATAATTCCTTATGAATGAAGCGACATTTGTCGAACAATTATTTAATCTCATTAACTGTTTAAAGCTCAGTACGACACCGTCAGATACTACTGCGTTCCACTGTGTATTATTCGAATAAAATTCTGCCCAACTCTGGTAATGGACCACTGTGCGGTGGCACGAAGAATCGGAGGACAATGAGACGGTGTAGCGTCGGAAAATCCTAACAGCATTTACCGCATAAAGCAAACAGTCATTCGGCATCGCGGAGCCATTCGGCCATACAGAACAATCCTGTGACCACGATTACGCGCGGATTTCCCGTGATTTCATCGTGGATCGCGAGTGATCCGCATGTTTCAGTCGCGTGCGCTCGGAAATCCCATCAACGGAACACCGTGACCGTGGTATCGAATGATTCTTTCTCGAGTTCGATGAAATTTCTCGACCCGGACGCGATCATTCAGAAGAAATTCACGTTCGTCGTTTTCCGACGAAAGCCCCCACGATTCACGAAAGAATTCGAATCCCTCCTGAACACGGTTCGAGGAAAGGTTTACTCAGAATACTTCCCCCGTGTCTTTCTCCGTGGACCATACACGTCACGTTTCGCTTCGAACCGTAATTTATCGTTCCCCTTTTGTCCGAAGGTTTATTCGATACTTTCCTCCCCCCCCCCCCCCCACGCAAATTCAATCGACAAGTCGTAAACTGCGAAAAGCTTCGACGATGGAACAACTTGTTCGACTATTTTTCGAAGTACCGGAATTCCCCTGTAACGTCATCCTCGTACTCCATTCTGGGCTTAGAGCGTGGATGGCACACCAGAGAGAGGCCTGGCGGCTGGCGTAACGGCTGCTTTTGGACCATGACGGAATTATAGGTTCCTGAATACGAAATGTTCTATTGTACGTTCGAGCTAAAAATTGATCGGGTTCCCCAGCAATCTTGAATATCTCTTATAGCCTCGGAAACGGGTGACGATCGAAAAGGTACGCTTTTAAAACGGTCCCTCTACAACTGGTCAACTTATCGCGTGACGGAAACGTACTGATCACACGTGGCAAGTACGTACATACCCGTGACGTATTTCAGCCGCGTATCGATCGTCGGGAAAACGTAAACATACGCGTCTAATCTCGCTGGAAAGTGGAGGGGGATGATCGATACCCTCGACGGAGGTCTAATTCAGGAAAGCGTGTAACGACAACACGGTTTTCTGCAGATTTTCTTCGAATCGATATCACAGATACAGTGGTGGACAAAAATATTTGTACACCCTTCAAAACGGAACAACGTTTTTCATATTAGTCCGAGTAGTTTTTTTTTAAACTACTGTTCCTAACTTTACAAACGAACTCAAGTCACTCGTACCGATTTGAAAAAATTTGTTCCGTTTTAAGGGGTGTACTTTTGTCCCCCACTGTATATTGATTCGAGTAAAGTCTACGGGGTCATGAGGGTTGACGAATCGTCGGCAGAGAATTCGCCGAGGAAAGCGCCGGTCATCGCGAAGCAGGAGAGAAAGTAAGATAGTCGACGGCGTTCGGGCCCTCGGAATACACCCGACGGAATTTTGGCGCGTCTGCTGTCGCCTCGGTGCGTGCACGCGCGCGTTACATCACGCGTCGCGATGAGACAGAAGCTCGACGCGAAGCCAGATGTTTTTGATATTTAAAAATACCTGTAGGACTATTTGCGTGTCCACGGTATTCTTGCCTCGGTTCGACTCAATTTTACTCGGGAAACCCCACAACGGCGTGGAGACCGGTGGGCACGGATCCGTGCTTCCACTTTCATTCCCGACTGGCTGGCTGGCTTAACGATCGTTCTACGAATGGAGCTCGTCGCCAACTAGAAGATCCTCCTTATTGTCCCGTCGACCTTCTTTTCCCGCATTCGAATTTCGAATTCATCGGTTGTGAATCGTAATGGAATATCGCGAACGGAGTCGTTCACCGCGTAGGCCGATTGTAATTGCAAATTAGCTGATAGTCGCGCGCGTGCGGGAAATTCCGAGAAATTTAAATGATTTTCTAGACGGTTCCGATGCGTCGCGGTTCTGCGCGCCACGAGGCAGATCGTTCGAGTGGAAACGTAAATATTTCTCTGTCGGAGCTGTGGCGTGGTTTTGGAAGAAGGTTTTCCGGGATATTGGTATTTTCCGAGGGTCGCAGATATTCGAATATTCCGCGAAGCATTGCTTGTACGGAGGCGCTACCGGTGGTAACAAGGTGGGGTTAATTTTAGCAGTTGCTTTGATCGGTACGAACCTAGTTTGGACCGCGGGACGCCAGCCAAAGCTCCGACGACAATGATTCATCCGCATCTTCCTAGTTCTATCTATATCTCGTAGAAGCATGTGACTCGGTCGCATCATTCTCAAGTACGCGTTTTCATCCCCCCTTCCTCGACTCGTTAAATTAGTTTGATTAAGAAATAGAAATCGTGTCTAAATTCAGGCGAGCGTGAACAATGCTTGCCTTCGAATTCTAAGGTGCCATTAGCAATGCTAATGCTCTCTCAAGTTCGATCTCGAGTGCGCTATTGTTCTGTGTATCACTTCCGATCCCCCCAAGTTAGCAAATTGACACTGGACCAATAGAATATAGAGTTGTTGAAAGTGTTCGTATAACCTATGCGTATCCCTACCTCATTGGTACGAACAAATAAATATTTTATTAACGATAAATGTTCTTTTTTTTTTATTTCAGGCGAGATGTGCCTTCACATAGCAGCCTCCTCGGGTCAGGTAGAGCTTGTACGGCTTCTGCTCCGTCTTGGAGCGGACCTCGAAGCCAGGGAAGCGTTGGCGGGAAAAACGGCACTCCATCTGGCGGTGGAACGCGGTTGTCGTTCGGTGGTCGCGTTTCTGTTACAAGAATGTCGACCCTGTCTGGACACGCAAACGTACGCGGGGATCACCGCCTATCAAATAGCTCTCTGCTTGGACAGTCAGCTCGCGAGGGAATTGGTTAGACTGGGCGCGACGCCGGAACCGCTTCCCGAGACGGATTCCGACAGCAGCGACGACGAGGAGAGCAGCAGCCCCGTGGCCAATTACCTGCCGGCTATCGCGAGACTCCGACAAAACGTGGTCGGTGTCAAAGTGTAGAGAAGCACCCGATCGATCAATGGGGCATCGCGTGTGGTTACCGTTTACTATTTTTTTTTTTTTTATGTTTCTTTCTTTTTCCCCTCTCTTTTCGGTCGATCGATGCGTTCAGGATTATGTAACTGTTTGCTCGTCGCCGAGAATCACGGCGAACAAAATGTACGAACGTCTGGAATTGCGCGTCGGTCAACCATTTTGACGGAGGAGGGGTATTACGGTTATGGACGGTGGTGTACCGTGATACGGGTGTATAGAGATAAAGAAGGGAACAGAGGTACAAACTCCGACGAGTACAAGTATTACCATGTCTGCATCGAGCATGCTTCTCTGCAGAGACCCAGACACGCGATTCTGATACGCACACGAATTCTGTCGTCCGATTGTCGCACGTAGAAACGAAGTCACGGACGATTACGAGAACGAAGGACGAACAGAGACAGTCGTAAACCGAACTGGATTAGAGAGGAGATTAATCGAAAGAGAGAGAGAGAGAGTCTCACGACATGTGAACACGTGCCTCTGTGAGGAACAAGTATTTCGATGATAACTTAAGCGAACACAGAACGAGTACGAAATGTTGTACGCTACGACTACAGACTTTATGAAGGAAAGAAAAAGAAAAAAGGAGAACGTAAATTTACGCTTAAAGAGACCGCAGGATCTCATTATGTACATAAGAAGCGAGAAGAGTATCGATGATTTTTTTTTTTTTTGTTCCGTATTTTGTGAGAATGCCAATGGACGCGCTCGTACGCTTCACGAGTGTCGTCGAGATCGAGACAGAGTAAATGTCAAAAAGCCGATAAAGAAAAAAATATATAACTATTGTATTCGAGCATTCGTAAGTTTGATCGTTTGTTTTTAAGATGTACATAGATTATATATTTATGTTAGTCCAACTTAAGGAGACCAAAATAACACTTCTGAAATAGAAACTATTTATCGAGGAGAGGCGTTCGAGAGATCGGCAGCGTTAGTACTCCGATAACGTTGCACTCGAACATTTAGAAACATTTTTCGCCCCGACCTGTTGTACATAGTCATTTTTTGTTAGTGTCCTGAATGGTGTCGTTTTTTACAGCACCGATATTAATAATAATAGAATGATAACGTTTAAACGTTTTACGTAACGTGTCTATAATTATTTCGTTTTTTTTTTTTTTTAGTAATAAAAAGGCCTTGGAAAATCTACTGTAAATCCCAGACTTTCGATCGATGACGGAACGACAATGGAACTATTCTCCGACGTTCCGAAAACGCGCATCGGTATCTAAATATCAGCAAATAACGAACACGAGAATTCGCGATAGACATAAAGGAACAGAACGGTGTCTGTTGTAGCTAATTCTGCGAGAGCCGACGTAAAAATGTGGAGCAAGGACCGGCCCGGTGGTTATTTCGAGTTCGCGCAACGTGTAATGGTCTAGGTATTCCAAGAAGCCTGCAGTCTTATTCCTTTTTGGGGGAGTTTGGTCTGCCGCGCGCGTACAGGTTCCCGGATATATTTGGATCCTGGTAAAGAGGGGATGCTGCTGATGGTCTAATAGTTTCGCGCCTCGGTAGACGTGGTCGTTTCACGTATGCTCGAGAATTCGTCGTGGTTATAGAATACATAAAAAAAAAAAGTCAGTATTATAAAACCATTCGTTTATACGATAAGTGTAATTGATGCAGAATTTTTCTGCCATTCCTTATATTTCTCCCGTTGATTATTCCCGATTCTATGGACGAATTCCTTACAGAAACGGATACCAGAGATTCTCGGTGTATCGCACGAATAAATGTTCTTCTGTAAATAAAACGCGAAAACATGATCTTAGAGATAATACAGCGGTTATCGAACTGCACGCGCTCGAAAAAAAAAGCATGCAACACGACGAGCTGTTGGGAATCCCCAGTCACTCCAGTTCGCCGATGGAAATACCAGGTTCCGTGGCAACGAAAGTGCTGTCAGATCGGGCAACCTTGGGCGCGGCAACGTTTCAGCCGTTGAGAAGTCATTCATACTCGAAATGCGCCTACGCTCATGGAATCGTTATTGGTGTTGCCGTTTTTTATTCGCCCAGTAGACTTCCTCATTTCGCGATTTATCGAACTGCATATTTTTAGTTTGTAATCTTGTAGCTGTTTCTCGTTACGGAATTCGGGAAAAAATTCAAACAATAGCTACGTACATATACACAGTATCGACAAACGAAATGAGAGTTTATTGCTAAGAATGAAAAATTTTGTAACTTATTCAACATTGATTTACGTGGAGTGACTTGGCATTATTATGTATTTATAATATATGTATTTAGTACACGGCAAAATGCTGCAAACATAATAAAACTGCATGATCAATGACACAGCATATTATTGAAGCGTGTAGCCATTGAGAGGGATATGTAAATTGTGTAAAATATTACATGTAATGTTGTAAATATAGAGTACATATAAAAAGAAAATGGTGCGCAGAACGTAATTATAAAACGTGGCGTATCGATGGTCGACGCGCTGTTAATGGGCACGATGCAATTACGAAACAGTGTTTCACAAGAGTAATGCAGTAACGTGTTTGGATTAGGCGCGAAGTTGTAGAAAAAGTAGAGGGTGCTCTTTCGAATGTGCTAGAAAATCGTGGAACATAATCGCGGGAAGACGCAACACACGTACAACTAGTTCACGGCAATCAAGGAGAGGCGCTAGTTGTCCATTTCTGGAGCTTTCTGAAAATCTGCGCCGGCTCGAGGCTAAACGTTCACACGAGTCATTGCGTATCTTTTGCGAGCAGAAAAAGAACGAGTCGCGAAAAATAGAACGAAAGTACCACGTTCCCAGGTGAAGCGTTATGGACCAGGTACGCGTTCTCATAAACTTAATTGTGGTTACATGTCCCTTGTGTTCGTAGAAACAGAATTTTCAAAAACACTGTGTCCCTACGCGATTCTGGTAACCGAGCACGCTTTTCTTAAAAAAATTATTCCTCTCCTTTTACTTACCCCATTCCGCGATATATATTCTTAAAACATTCTATCGGTCTAGTTCGCGAGACGCCATTTACTCTGTTTTAATTTGAAGGTTCGTTTTAAGTTCACGGTGGTTTTTTCATAGAACCGCAATTTCCTGCTACCACTTCCTTTGTGAAAAGCGTTTCATAAACTCACGTTGATGTTGTGTAATTGCCGAGGGAAATAGTATAGTAATCGGTTAAACAATAATTCTTTAACTTCTGAAAAATTTATAGGTTGCTTTGTTGAAAGAAAAAGGTAATACTGCTTTGCAAGATGGAAGATTTGAGGAGGCTATTAAACATTACACAGACGCAATTGCGTTAGATAGCAACAATCATGTACTGTACAGTAATAGGTCTGCTGCCTATGCCAAGGCACGAAAGTATGAAGAAGCTTTGCAAGATGCGGAAAAAACTGTGGCTTTGAAATCAGATTGGGCTAAAGGTTATTCGCGTAAAGGCAGTGCACTTGCTTACTTAGATAGATTAGATGAGTCTATCAAAGCATATCAAACTGGCCTAGAGCTGGAGCCTGACAATGCACAACTTAAAAGTGGTCTGGCCGAAGTCAAAAGTCAACTAGCAGCCGAGTCCAGTTCTTTCAATAGATATGATCTTTTTGGTAAACTTGCAAATAATCCAAGAACCAAAGAGTTCCTAAAGGATCCAGAATATTTAAAACTTCTGCATCAGCTACAAACCAATCCAGAAACTGTTGCTGGTATGCAATTTCCAGATCCAAGAATACTTACAACCATGGATGTATTATTAAGTACAAATTCAAAGACAAGTGAACCAATGGACATAGATCCACCTGAACATTCTGAAGCTGCAAAGCCTAAACAAGAATCATCTAAGCCTAAGCAAAAACCACCTAAGACACAGCAAAAAGAACAGGATAATCTTCCAGCAGAAAAGAGAGAAGCGTTAAATGAAAAGCAGTTGGGTAATGACGCTTACAAAAAGAAGAACTTTGAAGAAGCTCTTCGGCATTACAATAGAGCAGTAGAATTGGAGCCTACAGAAATCATTTATTTATTGAACATAGCAGCAGTATATTTTGAACAAAAAGAATATGAGAAATGTATTGCTCAGTGTGAAAAAGCAATTGACGTTGGAAGAGAGAATAGAGCTGATTTCAAACTAATAGCAAAGGCATTTACCAGGATTGGTCATGCACATAAAAAGATGGAGAATTGGAAACAGGCTAAAGTATATTATGAAAAATCCATGTCAGAACATAGAACGCCAGAGATTAAAACTCTTCTTTCGGATGTTGATAAAATTATTAAGGAAGAAGAGAGAAAAGCATATATTGATCCAGTTAAAGCTGAAGAAGAAAAGGAACTTGGAAACCAGAAATATAAGGATGGAGATTATCCAGCGGCAATAAAACATTATTCCGAAGCTATCAAAAGAAATCCTGATGATCCGAAATACTATAGCAACAGAGCTGCCTGTTATACTAAATTAGCAGCATTTGATCTCGGATTGAAAGATTGCGAGAAATGCGTTGATATTGATCCTAAGTTTATTAAAGGTTGGGTAAGGAAAGGAAAAATACTCCAAGGCATGCAACAACAAAGAATGGCCTTGACTGCCTATCAAAAAGCATTAGAGCTGGATCCTTCGAATAGCGAAGCATTGGAGGGATATCGATCCTGTGCTGTTTCTGTTAGTTCTAATCCTGAGGAAGTTAGGAAGAGGGCAATGGCAGATCCAGAAGTTCAAAATATATTACGAGATCCGGCTATGAGACTTATCTTAGAGCAGATGCAAAGTGATCCTAGAGCTTTACAAGAGTAAGAATTAGATTGTATTGATTACATTATGTTAATCGTGGTATTATTGAATTAATGTTAGACTAATATGTTATTTTTTTTTTAATTTTCAGCCATCTAAAGAACCCGGATATAGCGGCAAAATTGCAGAAACTCTTGGAATCAGGTCTAATTGCTATCCATTGAGCTGAAAAATGTTTCTACTTGTGCATTGCTCTGTGCATGACATTTTATTGTCACCAAGTTCCTTTGGCATTAAGGAAACCGTGCTGTTCATTCTCTTTTTGTGTATTAGAAATACGTTATTTAACCGTGCAGGCCGCTTAATGATGTATTCATTGTACCTAGTTTTTACTTTATAAGTGATACAATTTTGGTTACAAATACTAATACTGTAATAATAAAGCAAAATAACAATAGTAATAATTACAACATAATTATAGGATACTTCTGTGATTTATTTAATATCAAATTCAATATTAAAAATGACTAAACGTAAGAATAACCGAAACTTTTTGAAACATAGATTCTATCATGTAATATTAGGGTTTTTTTCTTTACATTTTATTAAATTTGCTACGATTTGTACAAAATGTATCTGTGACATAACAAAGAGAATAAACTATACGTTACTTTAATCGCGCTTATAGACTTCAAAGACTTAAGATGTTACGTCTATCATGCTGCCAACATCTTAAGCGCCGGCTCGAAAAACGTAATTTGCGCCGGTGAACCAGAAAAGCAATATAACCAAGTAAAAGAAAGATAAATATTTGTCGTTACTGTATAATTATATTCTTTGTAAATATATTGTTTATTTTTCTCGTATAAATTATGATATTTATAGAATACGGTATTTCATCAGTGATTTAACTGGTATCCATTTATCGTGTATACCAGGTGTGAATTGTTACATATATCTGTACGCATTGATTACAGCGCAACCTATCGTACCAGTGGAACTAAATAAGCATGTGTCAGTGATAGGAGCAAGCTGAATACAAGTACGTTCTTTACAAGAGACGTATGAACGGACACGCACACAAATACACGTAACGGATTAGTTCCAGCAAGTATCATCGACAGCGCTACAGTCGATGCATTAACACTCAACACGACAGATTGTTGGCCCCGGAGCAAAAACTATTGAAAAACTGCGGTCCAGAGATTGAACGCAAGACAATCGCTCTGCAGACGAGTCAGTTTCTTCGCAACGAAAAAGTGACAAGACCGGTGAACGGAGGACAGGGTGCTGGAAACACCGAATACGAACCTGATCCATCTTAAGCGCGGTGGTCCGCCGCGCTGGTGGGCCTAGCAGACGACATGTTGGCTGTGGGGAGCACCTCGTCTCGGATGTTTCGGTCGCGAATTTCCTCCGGAATTGTTGAGTGAGGAGAGCGAGCGGACGTGGTGAAAGCTAGGTGTGCAAGGAGACAGAGAGAGAGAGAGAGAGAGTGAGAAAGCAGGACCACTCAAGGGTGTGTGCGAGAGAGGGCACACGGTTGGGTTCCCCGAATGGTGGTTGTGCTGTGGTTCTCGTCGACGAGAAGCTCGTGGAGAGGGGTAGAGAGAGACCAGCGAGCGGCGGGGAGGGGGAACCCGGACGAGCCCTCGAAAAATCGAGGAATCGAGGAACGAAAATCAGAGAAAGAAGAAAAATTACGGACGGGATCGTAAGGATTCCCCTGGCTGTTCGGAGCTTCGTGAACGAGGAGGGTACTGTGTGTGGTACAGGAATTGGCAGAGATCGGAAGTGTCATAGAAAAGCGACGGGAAAAACTGGTCGGTTTTGCACACCATTGTCTTCCCTGTCTACGGGAGCTGTTCGGTTCCGTGAGTTTCACCGATTTGCGCCAATAACAACGAGCTAAGCAGCGCACCGGACTCGTGCTATTTTAATTTCTCGTTGTTCTGCCCGAAAGGTAGGGGGTTGGGAGGCGAGGCGAGGCCGAGCTGTCGCGTACACGCGTCGCGCTAGTCCCTTCCTCCTGAAACGATTTCGCGTGTGTCTCGTGTTGGCGGGCCATCACAGGAGGCGCATCGGACGACAGTGCACGTCAACCTATTATCCCAGTCCCGGTCTCGCTCCCACTCTTTCGAGTCGTGATCGTCGTGTCTCGTGCGTACTCCCTCTATCGCAACCTGCCGCGAGTGTCTGGCGGCCGGTTCTCGCCCAATGTTAAACGGAAGATTCGGAAGCGGTTCCAGTCGTCCAACAACACGTCAATTGGTATTTCCCCTGATCATCTGGCAGCGATTTATTCGTACTTGAGTTCGCTACGTAATTTATCCGTATTCTCCTTCGCGACGTCGATCAATTTGTCATTCTTGATCAAGTGTCACCGTGCAACTGTAAACGTCAGCGGAGGTAATACTAACGTCAGGTAGAGGGAGAGAGAGAGAGAGAGAGAGAAAAAGAAAGAAAGAATCATCTTATCGGTATCTCTGTACCTCGTACTTTAACACGGTACAGCACGAAGTCAACGTTGGACCAGCAGCACCGTCGCGACACACAGTGCGTGCAGCTATGGTTTCGCGGGTAGTGAAAGAAGCCGTGAAGTGAACGTGTGAGGTGCGAGTACTCTCGACCGGAGGATACACGCGTACGTTATTGTTGGTGTACTACGAAACGCAGAGAACGAAAAGAATACGGTGAAGAGCGAAGGAAGGACGGAAAAGCACGTATAAAAGTTTATAAGGTCGCTGACAACGACGACGATACCACCGGTCGCTGTAACGATAGACGGCGGGTGGAAAAGAAGAGAGAAAGATCGAGAGAGCGAGACATCGATAGAAGGACGGGGCTCGAGTGTAAGCGCGACGGTGATAGATTAAGTATCGAGTGACAGGACGGACAGCCGGCCGGGACGAAGGAGCCAATCTCGAAGTAGGTGGACGTGGATACGGAGAGTGAATCTCCGCGGCGAACCGCAGGACAGAAGAGACGGTGTTATTTAGATTGGAACGTCGAGGGTTTCGCACGCGAGAGATAAACAACGGGCGCCGGTTGCGCTCGTAACCGCCTGGCCGTTCGGCTTCGGGGGAAGAGAGTACAGTGGTGTTCGGATCCTTTCTTTAAAGCAAGAACAACAGAGAAGCAACAGAAGTGGAAGGGAAGAGCGAAGAGGGCGAGCCGCGCGTGTCTCTCTCGTGGTGTGTCATGGGGTGTTTCGGCAGCCAGAGCAGCAAGGCCAGCCAGGATGACAGTAAGAACCAGAAGAGGCGCTCGGATGCCATCACCAGGCAATTGCAAAAGGACAAGCAGGTGTACCGAGCCACGCACAGGCTTCTTTTGCTCGGTAAGTGACCGCAAAACCGTTTTATATATATATATATTTTTTTTCTCTCCGTCGATAATCTCCCCGTTCCGCGATGCAACATGTCTCCCTGTCGCCGCAGGGGGTGAGCGCTATTATCGCCCGGTACGTCCATTGTAAATGAACAGCGTGGGAACAAAATCGACTAGAGCGAAGTTTCAATCTCTTTTTTTTTTTCCTTTCTTTTTTTCACTACGAAGAACACGTTGTTGATCAAGGTGTCTGTACGTATTTCCATAAAGTCTGGACTATTAGCTCTTTCACTTTCAATAGATTCGTGGTACATCGATAGTAATGGTGGGATCAAGTTCAACGCGTACTTGTGAATTATAATCAATTGAACGTTTAACATTCATTTCGTAGGTTTCGATTGCTATTGTTAGTTTTATTTATTTCATGCACCCGTAATTGGTATGAAATTTGTATTGAATAAATACGAAGCTTCCTGGATGTGGTTATAAGTATTTCGAACTTGGTTGTGATCGAATTCTTTTCCAGTAATATTTGAACGATATCGATTTTGTACATGCATGAACAATGTCTATACATCAGTTCCGTCTACACGTGTGCATACTGTGCGAGCGAATGCTTAAGAAAAAAACAGCGAACCGTTTCACGAGCATTGCGTTTGTTTTTCAAAGTATACCCAATGATCGTTCTGCCACGTGCAATTAGTTTTTGATAATGCTCGCGACGAATTGGTCCCATCACTGATCAATAGTTGCTTAACCTCACTCCCACCTTGTCGTTATGTATCTCGATTATAGTTGTATGTGACCTCACGTATTATCGTGTTGCACGTTCTGTTGACTTGCTTTCGATACAACTTTCATTCTAAAGCTAGCTGGTTTTTCACGCCATTCATTTGTGAATAAGAATGCTGGGCAGTATGCACTAACGGGTGCACTTGTGTCACGCTTGAAAGGAAGATCTATTTAAGCTTGAGAATGATCGTTTTTCCTTTCGATAATTAAACGATATCACGTTGTCCTCGAGCAAGACATGGTCAAAGCCAGTGTAGAAAAAGGGCGTCATGGATGTACCAGCGTTCCAATTAATTCTGACTTAAGTCGCACAGTTGGGGGCGTTAGTTGTGATTCGAAGTAACCGTTTACTTCTGTTACCTAGTCTCGTACATGCTTCCCAAAATAGGGTCAAAAATCGTGACCAGGTAATACAAAAGAACTCGTGTATTTCGTTCAAAGATTTTTTTCCGCCAATCCACATCCAGTAAACTATCCTACAGACTCCTCTCGATTATTGTCTGGCTTGTTCTACACGATTATTGTCCAGGCGTATGCCTCACCACTAGAGGAGGAGTGGAACCTGTCAAGCTTTCATTGCAGAGGCTCGGGCTTAGAGCAAAAAACGAATTTACGAGGGTCTGAAGCATTTCTCCCTAGAAGATTATTGTCCCTGAGCGGACCTGAGTTCGGGACGATAATCGAGACGAGTCTGTATATTAAACGGAAGAAATTCACGGAGCAACGCTGTCGACAATTATATGTATTCTCACCGCGAGTTCAGATCGTAAATAATACACGTGTCGGGTTGAAACTCTGGTGGTAAACATCGTCGCTCCGAATCTCGAATTTCGGCGAGGGACAGTAGAACCACCACGAGTGAGCATTATCGCGATGCTCAGCGGCGCGTAATTCAATTTTATCGATTATCGTATGAGCCAGTGGCGGCACCCACGAATATATCTACCGGCGGCGGTTGCCTCATGTTGTACCCTTTTCGTGTGCGCGGCTCCTCTTCTCGCCTCCTTCTTCTCTCCTTCTTCTCTCCTTCTTCTGCTCCCCGGCAGCGGTGGTTGTGTCGGTTCGGGGTCTTTTTCAACGAAGAGCGACGCGCGGGCAACGTGGGAGCGTGCGTGCGCCCTCCTTGCCCCGCGTGCACCAACACACACACAGGATACAGTGGTACGCACACATACCGTGTCCACTTATCGCGATACTTAACCCAACACCTAGCCATTACCTTCCTATTCTTCCGTTTATGTAGGTCGCGTCGTTCTAATTCGACAGTGTGGATGTGTGTGTGTGTGTGTGTGTGTTCTCTGTGCATGCTGCGTGTATCCTATTCCCCTCTACCCGATCCTCTTGACTCACTCGCAGCTTACAGTCGAGCGAAGCAACAGCTGTTGCTGTATTGTTTTCCCATCGTCTCTCGTACCTCTGCAATTACGATCCAACCGTTAGAGAAAGAGAGACAGAGAGAGATGGAGGGAAAGAAACGAAGATCCGACGTCCATCGAGAAACTTTCCGGATGATCGAGGAGGAATCGTTCGCGGAAAAATCGGCGCTGCGCCCACGGAAGTCTATTTTCGTTCGATTCTCTCTCTCGCTCTCTCTGTCTTACTCGACTCGACCCTCGGCGAACTGGATGGATTTTTTGACGTATGGACCGGCGTTGATGGCGCGACGAAACGAATATCTCGAACGGAATCCTTTGAAGTTGAAACGACCGTCGTTTAACTTGTTGATCCGTGATGGTCCGGTCCGTGTCCTCCGGTCTCGCGACGACGACATTGACCCGATCCGACGCCGCGCATTAAACCAGTAGCGTTGCGTAACGTGTGTGTGTTTTCCTAAAAACAAAACGAAAACAAAATTAATATAATTGGTGGTTTGTTTCAGGAGCGGGAGAATCCGGGAAGAGCACGATCGTCAAGCAGATGAGGATATTGCACGTCAATGGTTTCAGCGAAGCGTAAGTTACCTCCGTTTCTTGCGATATACTTAATGATCGTTGTTTAATCGTATCTACACGATTGTCAACCACTGAACGGGACGAAATATACGGGGGAAGTAGGAACATTCCCAGTGCAAAGGGTTTAAGAGTTCTGCGTGAATTTATCCAGCTGATACGCTATTCGGTCGCTTGAATGGTAGCCCTCGGATACCGCGCGCCCGGCTCGAGATTCGGTGGGTTTTATTGAAATTCGTTTTTACGGGAGTAACAATACTGGGCTGTGCGTAACCTCGAGTCTCTTTTTCGCTACTCGTCATGCACAGTACGTGCACTGTGAATGATTCAGCTCGCGAACGAATTCGATCACGCGATGGTGATATCAATTTGTGGTCCAAACAGCGTCGTTCTCGTTTTTTCCCTCTTTCACTGAGATCGTGCAGACATCACTGTGCATCGCTTGGAGTTTCTATCCGATCAAGTAGGGTTCTACAGGGTATCCCAAAATAGCTTCGACTCCCGGAAATGGCAGACTCGTGAGGTGATTTGAAACAAGTTTTTCCTTTACAAAAATGCTTTCCGAGGCTTCGTTAACGAGATATTAACGAAAAACCCCGACCAATCAGAGCGCGAGTCGGTCGGACGAGCTTCCGCGGTAGCGTTGGCTACCAATCGCAGCGCGTGACGAACATTACCGCGGAAGCTCGTCCGACCGACGCGCTCTGAGTGGTCGGGGTTTTTCGTTAATATCTCGTTGACAAAGCCTCGGACAACATTTTTGCTAAGGAAAAAGTTGTTTCAAATCACCCCAGAAACCCCTCGCTTCTGGGAGTCGAAGCTATTTTGCGACACCTTGTATAGATCTCGAGATTGTTCCTCCTCAGAATTCACTTTCCCCGCATTCGATGTTTCGCTCGACGAGCCGCAAAGACCGTGCGAAAAAGACGGAGACGACGTCGTTATCGTAAAAAAGATCGTCGGTACACTTATACGAGGAAAATCAGAAGCAGCTCTAGATAGGATATGAAAACGACGTGCAAACAGACGGGTCTCTCGGGCCCCGGTATTCGCGTGTGTCGTAAATTCTGTCTGCCTCCACCCAGGCGCTGATAACGCGCCTAAAACACGCCTTGTTATTACGTTTTGCAGCGATTCCTTTTCTTTCCTCCGTTCAACCTGCCCCCTCTGTTCGACGGAGATCGCTCGCGGAATTTTTTTTTGGATCGATGGAAAATTGCTCCGTGTGTGTCGTCGCGGGACGCGTGACTGCGTCCTTTTTATTGTGCCGCCGCGCGCAAATTCCGGGGATCGTTACGTGTTCGATGCAGATTTCGTTCTGTTTACCATGGATACGTTAACCGATGGAATCTCGATATTTTTTTTCGTTTTTTTTTTTTCGGATCACTCCATCCTTCTCCAGAACTATTGGCTTCTGCATTTTCTACGATCGCGAACCATATCGTTTCCGTTTGCCCCCCCCTCCCACCCCCTTAGAACGCCACCCTCTGCTCGTAAAATATAAACAAGTCGGCCCGAGAATAACTCCACTGTCTCGTGTCTTTTTCACAATCTATTTGCAATCTTTGTATACCTATCGCGGCCGATGTATATTTGATGGGACAGCGGGCAACCGGGGCGAACATGCCGAAGAATGTAATTCGATTTTCGATAATTTTATCGGATTCCTCGAAAGGTGAACAGGGGTTCTGCAATTAGTTATACAATGGAACAGTGAGTTATGTGTATGTGTGTGCTTCGAAATAATCGCGAAGCCAATTTCTCGAGGATCCAAATAATGGGGATCGAATGCAAAATATGGGGGGGGGGGAAATTTGGAAACGGGTGTGTGTATATATTTTCGATGTTTACCGAACAGTATTCGTATCGAGGACCGGAACATCGAAAATTATTTATAATACACGGACGATCTTGCGTTAGTCACCGAAGAAAATGAATACAGTACTATTTTTGCTTGATCTTCTAACCACGTATACAGCGTTGCCGAGGCTGCTGTTCGAGCAGGTGATCCGCCGATTATTCCGAGCCGGTATATTTTCGAAACCCCGTGGCAGCATCGCTGAAACTTTCTCCGCTGTGGGTTTTGGTCCCGTGGAAAATTTAAATATCCCTCGAAATAATATTTTAACGGCGCACGGCGTTATTAATAGTCCGATGGCTTTCGAAGGCCGGAATACCGATGGAATCGAAACTCGGAATGGATAAAGATGATGATAACGATGTTCATTATCACACCTGATTTTTAATGACAACGTGTGACTGTGGTCGTTCCATGGAATCTTCTACGGTTCACGATAGGAGGGTATTAGCACAGAGATGTATAGAAGTAGACATTTCATCCAATGCATTTATTCGGCCCACTTTTCTGGGGCGACGTCGTCCCTTTTCCATTTTAGTGTCACTACCCACCGCAGATTTACCGTTCTCATAACGTAGAGGTCGCTGAAATCGCAGGCTTTTTAAGGTTAACTTAGGTGGGTCACCGATTCCCATATAAGATGAAAAGTCTAGTCTTATACCTCGTCAGTGGTATTAGTAACATCCGAACGATAACAGGAGCCTGGTACAGGTATCACCATGAAACGTACAAGGAGTGGGGGGTAAAACTTCCGTCCGTTGCTTTTTCACGGAGCGCACGTGATTCCGTTCATCGATTCGCGATTATCCCCCCCTCCCTACCACCCGATAAAAAAGTCCTCCAGTGGTTGTCTCCACGCGGACGTGAATCGGTTTTGTGCATACCGAAAACTGGCATGATGCCGGCCGGCCGCGTCGATCTAAAATTATAGAATGACTCGGGGAACTGCTAATAACGACAATGCTTGTATATAGATTCTCTCGTTCGGGCGAGTCGCTCGGTCCCGGCGGCGGTTAATTAAACACGATCGAATCTCTCTCTGTTTTCTCGCATTGGCATTAAACGCTTCCGGCCGCCGCGGATGACATAAGCTTTTCCCCGTTCCGCCCGCGAACTGGTGACCCCTCGTTCCTCACAGTTTTCCCTTTCTTTTTGTGCAGGGAAAAACGGCAAAAAATCGAGGACATCAAGAAGAACATCAGGGACGCGATATTGGTAAGGATTCGTCATGGATATTTATTCACACCGATTCCCCTTTGTAACCCTTTCGATGACCGGTGAGGGCCTCGTTCCTGGGTTGCTGGCCGCTCGGGTGCAAAAACAGTATCGTCGCTTTTATTGTTTTAATATTATTCAATTAAGAATTTGATGTGCAGTGTTTACTTTTATTTATATATACAGGGTGTGTCACCTAATGTTTACACCTCAAGTATCTTTGTTGTTTTTGAAGATATGTTAAATATCTTAAGGACAATGTTGAATGGTTCGATGGGTTCATACGGTACCAAAACAATTTTTACAAGTCTCAATCATGATCAACGTATTTTGCTTTCATATTTTAAATCTTATACGTTTTCTCTGTCCGTGACCTTGTGTGACCTTGAATAATTATAGTCACTGAATTCCTAATGAATTCAATTCAATTGGGCATCCTCTGCACCCCCCTTAGGAACGGCCCTGACCGGTGATATTGGGAATTAATTAAAGTAGTTAAATAAACCGAAGGGTTAACGTTGCCCTTGGGGTCCATCATGGAATCGCAGATTTCTTTCGAAACGGTACTTGATTTATTTCATTTATCAACGATTCTTCGAGAATCAGCGCGCCTCGCCGGTAAAATAGACCGTCTTATCTTCTACAATGCTTGCTCCTCATCTAATGGAAATGGCAGTCGAGACTCCGGTAGCCTTATTAAAACGCGACAGAGAGCTCGTAACCGGCGAAATCAGCCCGCGCCGCCACCTTCTCCGAAAATACCGGACGGGAGGAGGAGGAGGTCGAGAAGGAGGCGATATTAACGAAACGCGCTGAATAATTCACGCAGCGGCGTATCGCCGCGAGCTGGATATTCTCGGAACGAGTGTCATTTATCGCTGAATCAATACGCGCCGGCCGCCTCCTCTTCGAGAAACCCGGGATTCTTTTGAACTTGATAAAATCTTCCTTGACTTCGGTGACGGGGGACACGCAAATATCTTTTCCCTGAGTAGTGGGGCGGGATCGAGTCGTGTAACGATCAGTTTTGCCTAAAATTCTTTGGGCACTAAATTTCGATTAATGACAATATTCTCTTTGATCTTTGTATACTGTTCAGGAGAAAGGAAAACCTAGTCTATACAGTAAATCCTCGATGAGTGTTCGAAGGCTCCTCGGCATTGAGTGTTCAGACATCAACCCCACCAGTGAGCGCTTGACTGGGCCCACGAGGGACCCTCTCAGTGGTGGAGGTGACTTCCGAACACTTACAAGGGAAGGCACGGAAGTGTCCCCCTCCGATTTTGATGAAACTTCGTATGTCTGTTGAGCAGTTAAAAATAAGGGATACGTGTTTTTTTTTATCGGCTGGGGCGCGACTGTAAGGGGTGAAACCACCCCTCGAAGTTTCATCGATAATTCACTGTATCTACAATCGAGGCACGGAATGACAGTGGTCTACATTGAAAATCCTCCACGACCTTTCTTTCTTTAATATTCTTGACAGAATATAATATATAAACATCGATGTCTAATAGATTAAAAGCTGTAAAAATAATAGAGACCATCCACCGATTTGTATTTAGTGGATTTTACAATGGCGATTAAGGAGCGAGGGTTGTAGACGATTTTCAGTGTCAGCCACTGTAGTGGCGCAATAAGATGACGGAATCTTCGAATTGATCGATCCTTCGATTCGATGGATGTCTACAAAAAATTGATTCTGTTTCGTCGAAGCTACTTCACGTGACACGAACACGCTCGATCCCATCGCTAACCGTGAGAAGCGTGCAAACGTTCGTCATGCTGACCGTAAACACCCGTAAACTCTCGCGACGTTACCAACGGAACGACGAGGCACCGTCGTCAATTTGTACCTCGCACGTACACGAGGCCGCCGCGTTTAGATCACACTCGTATACGAGCGTAACCTTGCGCGATCGTTTCCACATGTCCGGTGAAATATAATGGGCAAAGGTTTCGTTTGTGACACTGTGCCACACGGGATTACGAACGGCGACGCGCGCAGGGGGGGGGGGCGGATAGATTGCGAGGAGGAATGGCGGGAATTTCAATTGTTAATTAACGGGCACACGAAACACCGTTAGAATAACGAGTCGTCGCCACAGTGGTCCAGAATCGAAATTTGGCAGCTCGTACACGCTTATTTAGCTGAAGAAATGCAAATCTTTGAAACTTACGAAATTTTACTTAACTCGCTAACTGCATTTTTGCACTACACTAGACGCCTACTTCGTTATTTTGTGATAATATCTGGAACATTTCTTGACAATCGGAGATACGAAATTTCTTTAAATTATATCCAAGCATTATAAAAACCGTGTTACTGTGAATACTAGTTCGTTCTTTACCGTGAGCAAAAATGACTATTGGTTCTTGGTTCTGTGAAAAAACTTTTTGTTCGGAATACGAAAAGAGGAGAGTAATAATGCTTGGAACAAATCGTCCATGGTTAATAATAAATTGACTTCAGCTTTTTTGGATGATAAAAGAAATTTGTCATCGACCATTCGAACTGGTAAATTTCGATTCTGGACCACTGTGCGTCGACGCGTCCCGTATTTGTGATGTATAGACTGCGGATTTTATGCACTTATAGCCTATAAGTCTCTGTGAAATACAATGAAGGACAAAATTTTTATTAAATGCAACGAGTTTTCTGTTCTCTTTTGAGCCCAATAAGATATTGAAAGGAAGAAAGAAATTTCTGCTACTGTTTTTGTCTTTATAAACAACGTTCCAAAATGTGATTTTCCATAGAAATCCGCAATCTAGTGATATATAAATGTTCTCTGTCCGGGAATCTCTGTTGGTGTCTGATCGGGGTGCATCTGTTTCAGACGATAACCAGCGCGATGAGCACGCTAACACCACCCGTCGTTCTGGAGGACCCGGCGAATCAGAGCAGAGTCGACTATGTCCTGGATGTCTCGTCCTCCACAGACTTCGATTATCCCCCGGTGAGTCGGTCGACCATTTGTTCCGCGTGATGTTCCAGCTGCTTAACGTTAATACGATGAAAAATGTGTCCCGTGGCAACGCGTTACACACCTCGGTATATCCTCTCGCGATTAAGTCGTCGTCCGAGAAGAAATCTTTGGCCCGATGCATTAAAACAGAGGCCAATTGGATGAGAATGATTTCTTCGCTTTAACGACGATTTTAATTGATTTATTTTTTGTGTATTACAATACCCGTTGCGTTAGATCGATCCCAAAAGGTAGTTGCACTTCTCGAATATTTCTGAAACAATTTATGTTTATGAAATAGAACGTCTGACCGAACCAAACATAATGAAATAAAACGTTTAATACAGGGTGTCCCATAATAGCATCGACTCCCGGAAATGAGGGGTTTCTGGGATGATTTCTAACAACTGTTTCCTTTTCAAAAATGTTATCCGAGGTTTCGCCGCCCAGGTACGGAGGCACCTTCTGCACCCCCGCCAGGAACGGCCCTGGTTGTAGCCTAGCTAGCTAGCTTGCTAGTTCGTTCGTTCGCTCGCGATACGCGTTATTTAACTCGTTTAGTCATTTTGTATTCAGGGCAACAATTCTGCCGCGCCTCTTTCGAACGTGCGCTGAACTCGGTAGCACGATTTATCCCTTAAAGATTCTGAACGGTCTGTATCGTGCATTAGTGCGCTTTCTCGGGCTCGCCGAATTCGCTTATCTAACGTGGAGCAATGACACGACACGGGTTTTTATATTTCCAAAACAAAAAGAAAGCAAACATCGTCACTGAAGGCGCACGAAATAAAGGGACGTCTCAATCGACGGATATCCGTGACGTTCGATTAATTCTGCGTCGGTTTCCACATAGTTCGACTCGAATTGTTCTATCATCTCTATGCCACGTGTTATAATAATAATAATAATAATAATAATAATAATATAAATTTATTTAGGATATAAGTACAATAGATAGTATAGTACAGTATAAGCACAGTATTAAATAAGTACAATATAGAGTATACAGTCGATTTTTCGAGTACATTTACCGTGAATGCAAAATTTCCAACCATTCGATAGAAATCAGTTACAAATCGCAACATAGACTTTGACCGTGTTTAAGTTGCTATTTTGTCCTCAGTTTGATGGGATCGTAATTCTGTTCACTCGGTGACCACGTGCTAAAATGAAACACCCCACTATCAATCAGTTTTGAAATTCTGAGAAAACGAGCATGATCGTATAAACGTCTGTGGTCTAGTTATAAATGTCGAGGGAAGATTAAAGAAGGCCGACGATTATAAAAATCATTGGTAACGAGGCATTGACATTTTCCATCGTCAGGCTGGCTAGCAGGGGGGTGAGGGGGGGATGCTATGATGGAAAGCGCATCTGGACTTGTCGCGAGAGTAATGATTTCGCCCGTTGCCAAACGGAACATCATCCGAGAGGTTTTCGAAGGAGCCTGTCCGTAAGCAAAACGAACACGTTTCGGTTGTAGCGATACGTCGGCGATGCGCCTCGAAATAAAGTCGTCGCGACAAAATAATCCGCGTGTTTTGCGTCATTCACTGGCAAGTCGCTGGTACGTGCGTGGCTCTTCGTGCCTGTGTATATGTGTACTCCCCCCCCCCCCCCCCTCCGCGTACATACGCGAATTATCGTGACCCCTTGTTTGTTGCACGCGGTTCTCTGCGCCGACGATCCGTCCGGAACGAATGCGACCCGAAGTAATTGAATCGACTCGCTCGAACGTGTTGACAGGCGAACAGAAATTTATGCGTCTTGCCGCCTTGTATTCGCCTTGTTTTCCTCATGGAACTGTGTAATGATAACACCGCGAATATATTGAATAACACCGGTTTGTACTTTAACCACCATCACCCCCTCCCCGTTTTCAACGCTGATTTGTAACCTCTAATTGTCGTCAGTAATATCGGAGAACTAAGATCGTGTTCGAGTATGCTCGGTGTAAGGATGGAAAGAATATTTCCCAAGGGTAATTGATTTTCTTGGATGGACGCTTCTTGGACTATTAACGGAGAAATCGGATGTCGACGAATTCGCTCGTAGACGGTCGATCGTCGATCATTCCTGCCCGCAAGTACGACGCGATAACCACTTGCCAGGCTGATAAAGGTTTATTTTCATCAGGTTACAAACGATGGAAAATGTTCGTTCGAATGGAAATTCTGTTTATGTTTAGTTTCTCTACTGTATCAATTCGCTTGCAACAGTTGCGATTGATTTTATGAAGATTTTGGTACGATCCCAAAATGGTCCTGCATCAGTTCGTCACGTTCAAGTCCATACCGCACGTTCTCCATGGTTACTTACGATACTTCAACGTTGAGTATCTCGTAGACGGTCCACGTTTTCCTTATGTCTTTACACGAATAAACGTCGCCTTGGACAGATTGTACAAGGAAGTTCCATCAAGAAAGATAGAGAGAGAGAGAGAGGGAGAGTCGCGCTCGTGTGTCGTATCATCTTGTTCGTTTCGCCACACCGTTCGACGGGCCGCGTTCAATTTGTCACTGTCGTTCGGCTTTCTGCATATCTGAGCGCCTATGCTCGTCGGGAACACGGAAGTGTATTTCGAGCGAATCTTCAACCGAATTCAACACCGCGGCCCGCGAGACATCGTGCGCGCAGTCGAAGGTTGATTCCGCGTGGGATAATAAAATTAACGGGGTCGAACTAGTGATGGGAGATACAGTATCGATATTTCGAATATTTATTACTTTTTTTTTTTTTTTTATTCGAAGCGGTTACATATTCATTTCACGTTTCTTCGCGCCTCCGAACAAGATCGAACAGCTAAAAACTTTGAACTCGACGTTGCCTGCGACTTCGGGGAGCCGGGAAGTTTGTTCAATTTGCTTCGGGATCGGAAGCGCTCGGTAAACTAGTCCCGCGAACAAAAATCTACCGCCTCGAAGGAAGTTCACCGGAAGGGCGCTCGATCGGTCGCCCTTTGATCTCGCCAACAACGATCTAATTCATTTCGGCATGGCTAGTTGTCCGGCTACCACTTTACTAAACACGAAATTGCAAATGCTGCAATTTAAACGATTAATTGCACATAACCTAACAAATAAAGAAAGAAACGTTTCCATTGGAAATATACGATCAGGTTCTTTTGGTCAGTCTTGTTGAAAGTATTTTCATTTTTGAAAACGTCCTCTCCTCTCTCGGCCCGAACCGTGACGCGGGTAACAGTCTGTTGTCACGATTCGTCCGAGCCAAATTCGTCGTTTCGTCAGAACCACGCGGTTTTTTTAGATAATTAACGGGACGCAATGGAGGTCCGCGCCAAACCGTAAACTTGCTTACCGCGAGTCGTCGCTCGAAATAGTGATTTATTTTCCATTCAGGCTTCGCGTGCTTCGACGCTCATTACCCCCGACTCCACTTTATTATTATTATTAGGTTTTCGTTATACACAACAAAAATTATACGTACACTATGAATAGGAACAAAGGAGAACCTAAAATTATAAATATTATTATTAGAACTGTGTAAGCGAGCCGAGGTTCATTTTAAATTCCGTCCCGTGGCTGAGCATAAACCAACTAACGGAATCGTGATTCGCTTGTTTTTCAGGAGTTTTACGAAATCGTCGAAACCCTTTGGAAGGATCGGGGCGTTCAGCAGAGTTTCGAGAGGAGTAACGAGTACCAACTAATCGACTGCGCCAAATAGTAAGTGACGTTTTCCTGTTTCCAATATCCGTCCCATTCGCGTTCGTATTTCTGTTTCCTCCGAACCGCTTCGAAAACATTACCCTCCCCCTTCGAGACTTTCCTTTCTCTTCAGACGCTCTAAATCGGTGGAATCGTAATGTCATCTTTCGGAAGCACTGAAATAAATTATCGAACTGAATGTTAATTTGGAATCTACAAGAAACTTGTCATTTCTGTTTCATCAAATCGAAAACTCACCCTGTGGTAAGCGATTTCAGTCGATTTCACCCCTGGTAGATGTGTGCAACATTCCCTATCAACGACTCACCTCGCGTGAATCCTCCCAGCTGGCACACGAAAACCGCTGTCAGGGCACACGAGGCGAAGAAAGGCCTCTTGGAAATTATTGCAACTTTTAAGTACGCCCAAGAATAATCAAAATGGAAAGTAGCGGGACAAGCGTTGACACGCACAACGGTTCTCTTTGATAAAAATAAGAGGGTATAAAGTTATTACCTGGCTCGGAGTCTTTCTCTCGTGCGTTAGACGCTCGCCTACGCTCGAGGTGTGTAGGGGGCTATTCTAATCTAGTATCCCCCCGGGGGGGAGGGGGTAGGGTCGACGATATCACGATTACGATAAGAAGAACAGGAACGATAACGTTTATGCAACGATAATGGAACCGCGAAACCGACGGTCCTTTTAAGCTGCGTCTACACTACACAGCATAACAAGTTATATAGCAAAGTTATAAATACTTGTTAGAAAAACAGAAAGAAAAATGTATATAACACGATGTTTCATAACATTTTTCGTTACATGTTACCCGTGCAAGTGTGACGTCGTTATTAATAATGTGATTCGAAATGTTATACAAACTTGTTACGGACTTGTCCAAAAGGTATACACTTGTAACAAGTTATGAAAATATGTTGTGCAGCAAAGTTATATAACGATTTGTTATACAACACTGTTTCGTTATACAGTCTAGACGCAGCTTTACGAGCAGCGATCTTTTCCGCGGAATGGAACGAGAAAGAAGATGATTATCGCGATTGGTTCGCGACCGGATGAATTTCGGAAGGTGTGTGTTCTCATGACCGCGATCCATACGCCGCCCGAGTCTCTGTGTATATTCATGGGTACTGTGACACCGATTTAATGCCAATGAAGACAATGCCTCTTAACGAGGTAATCGCTTTAATAGGGGCCAGTCGTTTGTCCAGGGGTTCTCTCTCGACGAAGTGTCTATGGTCGCCCAGCCTCGGAATCGTTTCAATTTCTTTTTTTCTTGCGGCAGGTTGACACACCGACCGTGTATACACACTTTCGTGGCGGGAACACGCGAGACGGATATATTTTTAGCCCCGGGATACCTACGCAAATTATCGTTCGTTTTCCTTGTGTGAACAGTTGGACTCGGACCGCTATATCCTCGCTGTTCCCGCGATATAATTAAGGCTCGGTGCACATGAACGATGCGGTATCGTTCGCGGATTTTTTTCGTAACGTTGACACCCACGTCATAAATCACCGTTAATGATTTTGCACACCATCTCTAATTAAGACCCTAGCCTTTATTTGGACCACCTCCTCCACCACGATCGCTAGTGTTCTTATTATAAATTGAAACTAAAGAGCTATTTCGTTAAAAGCGATCCAACATTATGGTCGTCAAAGTACAACGTTTATCCGTCGAAAACGAACGGTTTTATAATGACGACGGTGTAACACGACGAACCTTGAACGCGCAAAACCGACCGAGGGGCTGCTAAGAGGCGGCTCGGGAATCAAACGATTTCCCCGGGGGCCGATATTTTCGATGGCGTGTGTATGGTCCCCTTTCAACCGCCGCCGTAACTTTAGAGGAGCCGGGTATATAACCGATAAATTTCTATAAATCAGCGAAAAACTGGTCGCCGCGCGGGATCGTCCCCGGTCCAGCAGGTCGCTTGTGAACGACGACGGTGTCCCTTTGAAAATTACATAGCCGTGGGCATAGGTTGTTGCACTGGATTATCGTGGGCAAACGGGCGTGAATCACGTGGCGTGAACGCGAAACTTATCCGGCTGAAGCCAACAAAACCGAGGGCCCCGTGTGACTTACCCCGTTTGTCGTCCGTCGAACAGTTTAATTAGACAGGGAACTGGCTTTTATATTTGGCCGCAACCTTGTCGTTGCCACCGTCGACGAAATGAATATCGACGATGTTCTTCGTCGATCTGATAATGAATACCGTGTAGGGTAGATGTCCCAATTATTGTCACCTGTACCGTAACTTCATTTAATCATTTTACGTGTTGTTTAACCTAAAAATCATCTAACATCTCTTTTATTATAAACAAGTAGTTTTATACATTTAATATGGAGGATTAATTAATAATTAATTAAAATCTGCAAGTATTAACTCTTACTCGGTGTAATATCGGTATTTTACGTTTCGGTAGAAGTCCCTGGATTGAAGTACAACTCTTTTCTTAAAAAATCAAGCATTCCCTAAGCAGAGGCTGCTCTCTTCATTCTCTATTACACCGGTACCATTTCGTCACCGAGATTTCACGTCGTACAAAAACGGACACCCGTTCGAAACGCTCGATTACACCTCGGTTACTGCACCTTCCATCGAGGTTTACGTGAATTTTCCAACTTCTCTCCTGCTTCTTTTTTTCCTCTCCCCCCTTCCCTAAATTTCTCTCTCGTGCAGCGAGGAAATCATTCGATATAAATAGCACATCGTATTTTTAGGGAGCACCGTTTCGGATATAACGGAGGCATTCGTATATGGACCAGGGAGACGTTGTCCAAGATCGTTGTAATTTCGTCTCGATTGTTTGCTAAACATAGTTTTCATCCCCCTTCGCTCACGGTACACTTGAAAATATTCGCCATCCTGCCTGGGTTGGCTCCGATCGAACGAAAAAAAAATCGTCCGCGGTAGAATCGAACGGAAGAGGATTTTCGCGAGACCGATTTTCCGGAATCGGTTCGATTGCATCCGTTGAACCACGACGTTCGTTTTATTTACGAGATAAATGGAATATTTTGGCCAAGAATAAGCCAGAAATACCCTCGAATTGGAGTCACTGTTGCCGCGAATAAATATTTGTTCGACACGAACTAGAGATCGCGATACATCCACGAAGGGGAGGGGGAATTTCTACTTGATTATTGGTTCAGAGTCATTTCCTGATTGGACCATCGAATCCCGTTGTATTTCACGCGATAAAATTCAGGTGAACTCTTTCGAATCCTCCGGACCGGATGAAAAACTGAGCCCAGTTCCAGGGGGTTCGAATCTCGGTTCCCAAGGTGGATAAAAACAAAATCGACAGGGTGGGTGGGGAGAAAAAAAAAACGAATCGAGACGCACCGTGATTCGAGTCCTATATGCTGGGTGGACAAAATTAATTTTCAAAGTAGCCAGGGGGTGGCACTTGCCCTCTCCTGGACGGAAAAAAAAGTGGATTTTGCCCCAGCCTACAAGAAAAAAAAATTAGATTTTGCCCCCCCCCCCCTCCCTTCCCAGAGTTACAAAATTTTTGCATAATAATTTGAAACACGATCAACTGCCTCTATTAACAAAACGCCTACATTTTCAAGGATTTGTGACTTTAAGTTTTTTTTTGTAGCAATCATAGCTAAAGTGTAATACTGTAATTCTGCTTTTATTTTTCATTCATTTAATTTTTGTTGTTATTAATATTTTTAGTAAGGTAATAGACTGTGATAAGAAACAGGGTCGTTTCCTAATAATTCCAATTCCAATACCGCGAAGAAATACTTACGTCCACCTAGCATATAGGGCTCGAGCCACTGTTCGTCGTGGAGGCGTTGCACGCGGCCAGAGTCGTCTGTGTACCATGCCAATTACACGGAAAATAACGTCTTCGGCGCGCATCTTAAAAATGGAAACACGTGTCGCTATATATAGACACCTGGTCTCTTTCTTGCGCCGGGATCACTGATGCTGGGCGCACGTAGTTCACGGATGTTTCGATCGATAACAGTCTTCTTCTTCTCGCGGCGTAAACCGTGTCGGTGATAAAAACCGGCCGACAGAGGGAGGGAGAGAGATCTTATTTTTATCGTCGTTAATAAACTTTCGACGTCGATCTAAATATAGAACCGATGGGAAAATCAATCGAGAGTCTTTGACGCCGTCTCCGAAAAAGTTTGGACAGTGGCGAAGGTTTTTTTTTTTTTTTGTTTTGTTTGAAAATGGTTCACGTTGGATCAGGCTCGTCCTAGAAGGATCGAGAATGATCGAGACTGTGTGAATGATCACGTTTCCCAAGCATGACTCGGATCGACTAGGTTTCGCAAATATTGGCTGGACCAGAGCGATCGCCGCGTCCTCGGCCAGAAAGCGAGAAGGTTTCGGAGGCGTCCTATTAAATTGCACGGGTTTTCCAGCAGATTTACAAAGTCAATTCTCTCGAGAACGATGTCTGTGATGAAGAAAAATGGAGCAGTGAAATCTTGGTCGTGCAAAGAGAACCGTCGAGATCGATGCGAAGTGCCCGGGCAATGGATCCTCTCCTCGGTCCCGGTTGCCTTCGATCTGGTTGGCCGGCTCGATTCGTTACTTATGCAATCGACTGGCCATTGTTTTCCTCCTGGTCGCTTTGACCTCGTTCAAAATCCACGAAGCAGTGTTGTCCTGTCGGCCGGAAACTTTGAACGATCGTAACCTCTGGCATTAGTTTCCGAACTTGAACACGTGGCGGGGAATTGTATCGAACGGTCGAGAACCTCTTCTTTTTTTTTTTTGAATTGGACAGCACTGAATTTTGTATATGCATTAACTAATTTCGTCACTTTCGTATTGCAATGCAAGTTGTGACAAATCTGAGAAGTGCATTGTTGTAACGTTTATATCATCGTTATGTGAATGTGCTAACCGATCGTTATGATTGCTCTGGTGGTTCTAGTGTTAACCATAGATATACAGGGTGTCATGTAACTGGTGGTATAACCTTGTAGGGGGTGATTCTACCTTAAAAAATCGTGGAAAATATACGATAAAATTGTTTCATTAGAGACTCTGTTCTCGAGAGAATTGACTTTGAAAATCTGTTGGTTACGCGTGCAATTGGATAGGATTCCTTCGAAAGTTTTTAACTAAAATGTAAAATATAGAATAAAATTTGTTCATTTCAGACTTCGTATCGAGAAAATCGACTTTGAACATGAATCTGAAACGCGTGTATTCGTCGGCGGTAGTGAGTAGAAACGGAATTCAATGAACAGACGCTTCAGCCAGGTCCTATTCAATTGTACGCATATCCAACCGAGTGTCAACGTCGATTTTCTAGAACACGAAGTTTCAAGTAAATAAAAATCTATTATTTTCGACTTATTTTTTCACGTAGAATCAGCCCCTATCCCATTTGTACGACCAGTTACACGCCACCCTGTATAACCTCTAACAATTTCGTAGTAGGAGACACCTGCTTGGCACGACGCAGCTTGGAGGGGTGTCACGCGTCCCAGTATCATTAGAAATAACATTGTTACAGTTGACCCCAAGGTCGGAGGCGGTGTGTTACATGCCGCCATAACGAGAAAATCGTTCTGCCGTGGCCAGTGGGTCACGACCTCCTTCCTCTTTCAATTCTCCGGAGGTCGATAACCTCATTTCTGTCTGAGCGCGCCAATTTCATGACCTACCTTCTCTCACGAGCCTACACACACGTACGCGTGTCCTGTGCACACACACACTGATATCTCTCGGTATCTGGGATCGCGTCCTCGGGACCACGCCGGCCGAAAATCAATTTCAACCGATTCGCGGTTTCTCGAATTTACTCGAGCGGCCAATTCCGGGGTCGCTTATCCTTGCTCTTGCGGGGTTCCGTGAACTGAGCCTAATTGCTTCTATACAGTAAATCCTCGGTGAGTGTTCGAAGGTTTCTGAGCACTGAACGTTAAATGTTTCATAAACTAATGGTCGTATACAGCTTAAACAAATATCGTTGGATTCATAATTCCAAGCTTTATTACTGTGTTTAACCTGATTGGAAAGTCAGTGTTGCATCTGAAGACATCTACTTGTCAGGAGCTTTGGAACACTCATCGAGGATTTACTGTATACTCTGATAGAATCTTCCTTTTAGGTTTAAGCCAGTTGGATTTACCAGGGTTCGTGATTACAATATTTCGCCCTAGCTTAGATGGATCGTACAAGTGTCGGAATGTTAAGAATTTCGAACGATGTCCTTCCCTTTTCGTAACCATCGATATATACCTGTCGGGTAAGCGGTCTGGATTAGGTTTTACTTCGGGATTAAGACACTTGGATCTATCAGGGGTCGTGATTCTAATATTTTAATTACAAAGCTCCAGTTGATCCAAATTTAATTCCCGCAGGAATTCAGTCGGGGTTTTTCGTTAATATCTCGTTAACAAAAAGCCTCGGATAAAATTTTTCCTAAGTAAAAACTTATTCCAAATCGCCTCACGAGTCTCCTATTTCAGGGACCTCCGACATTTTTGCTACACCCTGTATATACTTCTCCATTCTTCGTAAGCCCCTCGGTGTACCGTGGTCGGTCCAAGAGAGCCCACACGGTCCGCTATTTAACAACCAGTTAAAGCAGTCCTCGTGTCGGTAAATATATTATCACCGTCAACCGACGGTGGACGGCCAGGCAGCACATGCCGGTGTCAAAGCGAAAAGACCCACCCCTGCGCGCTGAGGTGCCCTCCTCTCGCACCTACACAGGTGAACGCGCGCCGCCACGATCTCCATACGTTCGTGCATGCATATACTCACACACACGGTGGAGCATAAGTCTGCACGTACGATTGATGGCGGAGCAACGGTGGCAGTGACCCATGACCCGGATTGGAAACTGGGTGCCAGAGAGAGGCATACCCGGCGAGGCCGAGAGGGCGAGAGTTGGGGTTAGGATAGGACACACCGGCCGAGGATCGATTTTCCCTCTTGGTGCGCTCTATCCACCCTAGACACCGGCCGGGGAGGGTCTTTTCTGGCTCGAGCAAGGGAACAGAAAGAGAGAGAGAGAGAGAGAGACTAGCACGAGGATCAAAAGAGCTGAGGTACGAGCACTCTGGTGGGAGAAAGAGAGAAATATGAGAAAAGGAGAGGAAATTATCTCTGTTTCTCCTTTCCCTTGGTCGCCCTAGGCGGCTCACCTTCCGCCAACAGCCACTTCCGCTCACTCCATCGTGTGTGTGTGTGTGTGTGTTATTCCCCCGATCTTGATCCCTCGAGAATGATTTTAAATTTTAAGACGAAAGGCGACATCCGATACCTGAAACTTCCATCTGGTATTAAAATTATACTATGCTTATTCGGGAGTTCGTACGATGGGAATATTTGTTCTCTCACGGATCATGTCCTGTTCACGGGGTAATTCGAAAAATTCGTGCCTCACGTTCATGATCGGAACGATAGACGAGCCTGTGAAGTAGCCTCGATAATCACAGATCGATCGAAATTATCGTAGTTTGTCTTGATTCGATGGGTTATGGTGTTATGGAACGAATACAATAAATCATCGGTGAGTGTTCGAAGTGTCCTCCTCGACACTTAGTGTTCAGACGTCATCTCCACCACTGAGGAGTGGGGGTGTCAAGGGAGTCAAGCGATGACGGCTGAAGACTTATTGTCGAAGAGTCTTCGAGCAGTCATCGATGATTTACTGTAGGATGTATTCAAGTAGAATAAAAAAAAAACTTTGCATGTACAGTAATGTCTCGATGAGTGCGACGTATTCGAGTCCACTTCGGAGCATTCGTGGCAAGACGGACAAATTTTCAGCTCTTCATAAATTTGTTTTTTGCCTGAAGCCGAGATCTCTGCTTAGCATCTGTTTACTCTGTTTTTATTTGTTCCCCAGAGAGACTCCCCCAGTGATGGGAATAACACCGTTGCTCGTGTCGCATTCATCGAGAAACCACTGTTTCTCGTTGATTCGGGCGTATAATCCATTCACTCTGCTTTATTTCTTGTTTCAGTTTTCTAGATAAGGTAGCCATTGTTAAACAACCGGATTACACCCCCACAGAACAGGTACTTATTTTAACAAATCATAGATCTGCTCAATACACGTAACAGATAATTATTTTGGTCCCACCGATTTCACCGTTAGGACACTCTCGTTCTGTTACAGGACATCCTCAGGTGTCGTGTCCTCACCTCCGGTATCTTCGAGACGCGGTTTCAAGTCGACAAAGTAAACTTTCAGTAAGTCCCCCGTCCGATACCCACGTCCGTTCTTCGCTCCAGTGTCGTCTAACTATATATAGACGACGTGTATTACAGTAACATCGGCCGACGGTAAATATAACGCGAAGTCAGCGACGCGCATCTCATCTGCCCGCGGTCGTGTATCACAGAACCGGGGGCTCCTGACTTACGTACCTACGTGTACGTGTTCTCTCTACGTTGCAGAGCGAAATCCGTTAGCCGCGCGTTAACGCCTCCGCAACTTTATTATATTTCCCCACCGGCCTTTTTTTTTTCTCTCTCCCCCGTCCGTCCGTCCGCTCGACGGACCTCGGATTCTCCGCTCCACATTGTCTCGGCGGGAAACGGTTTTTTTATCGGTCCCCTGTAGAGAAATTGCGAATCGATTCCGACCTCGCTCTGTTCGTTCGTTCCATCCGGGGGAGGGAGGGATTGGCCTGCCCACTAGTGATGGGCGATTCAGTATCGATATTTCGAATATCGATACTTTTCTATTTAAATATCGATATTTAATGCGATGATATATTCGAGTATCGATGCTCAACGATTTCTCTTACATTCTGCTTAAACGAATGATTTATTTTCATTTTTGAAATTTTTTATTAACAATTTAATTGCGAGTATCGATACCGATAATATCGATATTTTATTTCCAACATAAATGTGTGTATCGATACTCTGAGTATCGATGTATATCGATACAATTGAAATGTATCGCCATCGCTATTGCACACGCGAGTCGAACGAACGCGAATTCGAAAACCGGGGAAGAACCTAATTGAATCGGGAATAATCGAAGGAACCTCGAAAATGGTACACTTCGAGGTGCGCACATATACCTATATGTATATGTGTATAGTCTCGGGAACCTGGGCGCCGTGTACCGAGATAATTTTATCTTACAGAGATGTATAGAATAAATTGTCGTCGTTTATGGGACGATCGAGTATTTTTATCCGTCCGTCGGCCATGTTATCTGAAACGCTATCTACGCGTCCATGTTAAATTTGTAAACGAGGAAAGAGGGAGACAAAGATTATGGAAGGAATGATAAATTAATATAATATTACAGCATGTTCGACGTCGGTGGCCAGAGGGATGAGAGGAGAAAATGGATACAGTGCTTTAACGATGTAACGGCAATCATATTTGTAACGGCATGTAGTAGTTATAACATGGTACTCAGGGAGGATCCGACGAAGCTCAGACTCCGAGAGAGTCTCGATCTCTTCAAAAGCATTTGGAACAATCGGTACGCTATTCACCGATATCTGCCGCCCTCTCGAGGCGCGAATAAACAATAAAAAATATATATATATATATATATATATTTTACGAGCACGATGACGTCGGCGTACATGACTGGTGTGTTTCCTTTGTAGGTGGCTCCGCACAATTTCCGTAATCTTATTTTTAAACAAACAGGACCTGTTGGCGGAAAAAATCAAAGCAGGCAAGCACAAATTAGAGGACTATTTCCCAGAGTTCGCGCGTTACCAGACGCCGGTTGAGCCCGGCGTGGTCGCGGACTCATCGGAACCCCCTGATGTTATAAGGGCCAAGTACTTCATTAGGGACGAGTTTCTCGTAAGTGAACGATATAATTCTCCTGGGACAATGATGGGCCTGGTAGGAATATGAAAGTTAACACTTGCAAAAATAGGTCCCCAGGTATAACGCTGACTTTTTAACGAGCTTGGTATTCTGAAGGCAAACGATATTTGTTTCAGCGGAAAAAAAAAGTTGGAGGCTATGTACAGGATGCTTCCGAACTGGTGGTTCATACCAAAAGAATGTGATTCTAGATGTAAATCGAAAATATAGAATAAAATTTTCTTGTATAATCCTTTATTTTCAAGATAAATAATTCTCGAAATTCATCCAATACGTGTATGCATTCGTGTTGGCAGTAAGTAGAAACGGAATGTAATAAACAGACGTGTTAATCAAGTCCTAATTCAATTGCAGATTTTCAAATTCGAGTGCCTAGAAAACAAAGAATTTTATTCTACATTCTCGGTTCATCTTTGCACGTAGAATCGCATCCTTTCGGGTTATATCACTATTGCGAAACCACCTTGTACATAGACTACAACTTTAACATTAAATATCTCATATAAACTAATGGTCATACATGGCTGAAACAACTATCTTTAGCTTCAGATATCCAAGCTCTATTACCGTATTAAACCTTTTTAAAAAAAATCCCCGTCATACCTGGCTACCTCTCCTTGTTAGTAGAACTGGTACGAAAATATTTTGTGCCCAAAAATTCCAAAAGGCTCATCGAGCATTGTTCGTTCGGTTGTATTCGACGAAGAGAAGCGTGTTTTACATTCCCATTCGAAACGTTTCTCTTTTTTTTTTTCCAGCGTATAAGTACAGCGAGCGGCGACGGCAAGCACTATTGTTATCCACACTTCACATGCGCGGTCGACACGGAGAATATCAAGCGGGTGTTCAACGATTGCCGGGACATCATTCAGCGGATGCACTTGCGCCAGTACGAGCTCTTGTGACTTCGTTCCTGCCGACGTGTCCTGTCACCCGTTCGCATCAGAATCACGATAGTGCTCCGTTTCGTCGAGCCGATCAACCGTGCCGAGCGAGTCGTACCGTGGGCGATCTGAAACACGTATCGCGATGTACGGCAAACGTGTACGGCGCGCGCGGAATTCTTCCTCGCGTGCCCGGAGCAAGCTGAATATTGTATTCAGAGAAAGAAAGAAAGAGTGAGAGAGAATGAGAGAGAGAAAAAGAGAGGAACGCGTCGAAGAATCCGCGTGGAGGAGGAATAAGCGTGTACACGATCGACGACACTGCCTGTCGATCATTATATTCTTCCTCGACGAATGGCGTCTCGAGGAGGGAACGTTGATACGCAGCCCAGGTCTCTGGGGGTTACGGGGGGTTATAAATAATATCTGTCTCGCAACGGAGAATAGCGTCTCTCTTTTTGCACAGAAATCGCTTAACCTAATGTGTCATTGGTGTACAAGCAAATCTAAAGCCCTACCTGTCGCGCATTCAAACTCTTGTTAACGAACTTCTTGTTTACGACACCAGACGAAATTTCATCTCGGGCGTATACATATATTTGTTGTTTTCTTCTTCTTTCATCGGAATCGCAAAACTCGACCACCACAACCCTCCACACCCCCCCCTCCCCTCTCCCCCCAAACCCTCTTTATGTTCGACGAGAGTGTGCTGAACGTCGACGCCGGAGGAGGAATCCACGTACCACGCACGATGATATATTACATATATATAAATATGGTTCGTCGCTGAGAAACACGTGCAATTTTACCGATTACCTCGTTAATTTTATTTTTATTACGCATCAATTCGTTGATAAGAGAAGGAACAAACGAATGTTCGAACGTTTTTCGAGAGCCACACCGCGAGGATCGTTACGTAGTAACGGGCCATGCGGCGGGCTAATTCGGGTACAATGGCTGTTCCTCGAGTCCGGCACACTCGTCTGCGGTCTTTTGATTGTCGTTCAGATATAGCGGTTAAGAACGTTTTCCTAAGACTTAGGCAATTTTCTTCGATAAATGATCCTTATCGTTGAACGTTCCTTTACTGATGTTTTCGAATCTCTAATGTTATATTTTCCTCGAACCCAACCCCGTCCCCCCCCCCATTTCCTCCCTTCCCCTCTTTACCTATTTAATTACCGATCTCCGTGTATTTTTGCAAATGAATTAATTTCCTCGACTTCCGAATCTCGACTTTTAAATCGCATTGGCCCGACCCGTAGGAGTCTCAGCCGCACCTTTTTACAAGAAGAGTATTTTGTGAGATTTTACAGTATTTCGAAGAGCGTTTTAATTATATAACTATGTATCAAGTATGTACAGGGTGACCGTCCACAGATTCATGTTTTTATGTGCGTTTCCAGATGGATCGAGATTCCTCACTGAATATCGTTTTTACCGATTCTTCTTCGTTTCTCTTTTCCATTTTTGAGAATACGTTTAATTCGTGTACTTAGGCACACACACACACACACACAAGCAGAACACGTACACACACACACACACGCACGCACATACACAAAAAGAAACAAACAAAACACACTGTCGTTGTAGCATAGTGTTTACGTATGTAAATCCTGAACTGTGCAATAGCTGTGCCACGTTGAAAGAAAGATAGAGAAAGAATGAGAGAGTGACAAGAGAGAAAGAAGGAGAGAGAATGAGAGGAAACAGAAAAACCAGAAGTGAAAAACAAATTCGTTTTACAGGTACACAATTTTTGACTAGCGTTAGGCTCGAAAAAAAACTTTACAATCAAAGTATGTCAATGTAAATGTTATAAAACATAACAGAGGTATAATATGTTGCTTATTTATTCGACTTCGTAATGTAAAGTTCCCGCGTCTCGTTTTTTCGGAACGATGCTTTTATGTCCTGGGGATATATATATATATATTATAAATATTAATATACGATTCTCAACGTGTACAAATTTTTCGGGATTCCGTGGAGATCCCCGTTGGAGATTTGTTGTTATCGGAAACTCTTCGTAGGACTTGTACCGTGATGAACCTGGTTCCCAGAGCTAAACTGCGACACGCGAATTTTCGTATCTCATGTGTCTCTTTGCAAATTAAATTCCTTTCGGCGACGCCATTTGGACACCCTGTATATGGTAAATCTCCTATCATTTCCCTTGGAATCTTCAAACACAAGCGTGGTGTATTACGTTTTGATTATTCTCGATGCGCAGCCACATACACGCACACACACACACACACACACAGTGGGTAAAAAAAAAATATTTTCGTATACCCTTTAAAACAGAACAACTCTTTCAGAATTGGACCAAGTGACTAAAATTTTTCAAAATTTTTTTAACACATTTAGTAAACTAATCCTTCTAACTTCACAAAGAAACTCAAGTCACTTGGTGCAATTTTGAAAGAGTTGTTTTGTTTTAAAGGGTGTACAAATACTTTCTTTTACCCACTGTACATACAGTGTCCAATGGGAAGAACAAACTGCTTGCACGCGTATGTGAGACTGCTTCGAAAAAAAAAGGAAACTTGCAATTACATATGTGTGTGTGTCTGTGTACGTGTGCACGGCACAACTATACCGTATAGAAATTAACGTACGCGATAACGAGGACAAAGGAAAACCAAGAAAAGAATTCGTTAACGACGCAATTGCTCTTCTTCTTCCTTGCAGCCCGTTCTCATCCACGTACAATGCACTCTCGTGCGTCGCTGGATCGACGATCGCGGATCAACAACTCTTTTTCTAATAGATAGAACAAGAACTTTCGCGTAAAATTACACCAGGTTAAAACGTAAGGGTGCGAAATCGAGCCAGGGTGGCGAACGTTTCCCATAACGTCGACCGTACCACAATATTCGGGCGATCCGGTCTTGCTATTCTTATTATCGTTCTATACACTCTGATAAAATACGATCGTTCGTTCCTTCGTGTCACTTTACAAACGCTTATCTATTCGTCTATGTGCACGAGCGGGAAGGCAAAGGGAGTGCGAATAATTTACACGATTCTAACTCTAACTGTTACGTTTACTTGTGTTCCACTTTAGACCAGAAAAGAGCACAATTTTATTGCGAGTATATAAAATAGGTGACGAATAGAAACAATTATTTGTACAGTATATACTATTCGATTTTGTAATTAACGTTCCTGACGAATAACCTGCAACGGGTTCTTGTTTTTTTTTTTTTTTTGAAAATTTTTTTATTCATGCGAGAAACTTTTTAACGTTTCGTGACCTGTGTAGAACTTATTGTTCGTCTGATTTTCGCGGATAGACGGTTCATCCAACGGCGAAATGGGTAATCGCGGTTTCGTTTTCTTTCGTGGTGCTCCTCGTCCGATGATCGTGCATAGCGGGCTCCGGATCGGCCAATTTCGAACGATGGCCGCGGACAGAGGAATTCCGGGGTCATTGCGTAATCGATGGTGTCACCTCGTGCCGTGTGTTTAGTCACACGCCTCCGACACGAGCCCGCCAAAACCCTCGTAAAATGTACTCTCGTGTAATATCAATTAAGAAGTGTTATTTTTACTTGTAAGACTGTAATAATGACAGATACGTGTGTGAGAATGGAGGAGAGAAAGCGAGAGAGAGAGAGCGAGAACCAAGGATAGAGAGAAAGAAAATGAAGAGAGCTTGGTCTCTCCTCGAGTGAGTATTTAACTGTCGTCGATGAAACTTCCGTGAAACTTGTAATTGTTCACCCAGCACAAAGAGATATATATGTATGTACATATATGTATCTCTAAGAGACATATGTATATGTATATAAATGCGAAAGATGAGTTTTTTTTTCGTATATATCGCAGCGCGTATGGACGTGTATATCGTTGTAATTAGTATTTGTCTCGAGTGTCCTCATATCTTTTCTTTCATTTCTCTCTTACCAGACGTTTTTTTCTTTTTTTTTTTTCTTTTTAAACACGATCCGATTTCGACTGAATCATTCAGCCGCGTCGGGCAACCGAGAAGAATCAATCATGAAAGAAACGCTACGGTTCGATCGATCCCGTAGTAAGTAAAGAAATCGTTGCGCTTGACAGTGTCGAAGTCACATGAAAATCGATGGTCCGTTTTTCAACCGACCGATCGCGATGCAATAAACTCACCGTCACGTGTATTATACAGGGAACGCAAAGAGGACACAGACGCTCTTAGCTGTTCACTCGTAGAATGTGAAATGAAAATATTCGTGAACGTGTATGTAACTAACTAGTCGAGTATCGTGCGCGCAAATACAGGCGAAATGAAGAAATAAAACGAAACGGATACCGGAATTGCTGATATATATAAAGATAGATATATACATATTGTATACATACGCCGATCGCACAAGTTTTTTTTCTTTCTTTTATTGTACGTACAGTGTATCAGCCATGAGAATATGTACATGTAAAAAAAAACTAAGCGGTGATTGTAATTATTATTATGATTATTATTTTTATCTGTAAATACGATGAACGGCAGGTTCGTAACGGGACACACAAAGGAATCGACGACGTATCGGTACTTCGACGAAGAGACTAATTTCAAAATCACGTGTGTATGTATGTGTGTGTGTGTGTGTGTGTGTGTGTCTCGTAAATCAAGTACGTTATTGATGGTACGATAAGAACCATTCTTCGCCTGTGTTAAATGTTCTTAACACTTGAAGGGTCCGGCGGCATACTGTTCTTACCAGTCGTTGAAATCACCAGATCGCCGGTCGTATTCGTTCAGGAGTTTTCATTGTGTGCGATTCACTGTCTGCTCGGTTGTATATACAGTAATGTCTCGATGAATGTGACATACTCGGGTTTGATTCGGAACATTCATGGAAAGACGGAAAGGTTTTGAGCTTCTGCTTAGCTTCTGTTCACTCTGTTTTGATTAATTCCAGAGGGGAACCCCCCAGTGGTGGGAATACCGCCGTTGCTCGTGTCGCATTCATCGAGGCATCACTGTAATTCGCAAGAATTAAGGTTGTTTGTTCGAGAACATATTGTATGTTTCTCTTTTTGTTGGCGGAACTTTGCATTTAGAGAAAGCTTAAGAAAGCCGTATCGACCGTACTCGGCCAGCCACGTTGCAATTCGAAAAAGACGGGAAAAATGTCTTCGTTCATCCTCGAGAGTTGCGACAGATTCGAACGTCTCGGGTGACACGTAGGGATCAGAAGATCGTGTTCCTTTTTTCTGTTTTGTTCGTCGCGATTATACGGTCCCGTCGTGCGAATCGGAAAGATCGTCGCTGAAGAGCACGGTGCAGCACGTCGTCTACAAAGCTGTTGCGTGTCACGATACTCTTTGTGGACCACGTTGCTGGAAGCATTGCCTTACAATTTAAAAAAAAAAAAGAAACAAAAACGATAAGCGAAAGTCAAAGAAGACGGCTGGACGTGGTTGGAAATGGCGTAACGAATCGGCCGACACATGAACAATTCGTGGACTGATGCAACCTTGTCGCTGGTAACGCGATCGTTAACGCGGGAAATTCTGCCGCGTTCAAATTGCACGGATGGAAATTCGATCTGAATTTGGGAAATTTTATAAATACCGATTCGTTACGCGGCTTATCCGGCGAGGCCATGGAACGTTTGCGAAGTAGATAAAGAAAATACGCGTTTCGCGTCACTATGTTCTCGCGTTTATGTTAAGAATACAGAGTCATTTATTGTGATCGTCTTATCGTTACACTGTTATTCGATGAAAAAAAAAAATAAGAAATTCTCTTTACACAGTCAGATTTTATTGATGCGGATAATGTAGTTATATTATTATTGTCATCGTGGTCATCGTTGCCCAGATCGTTCATTCTCATCGTCATTATTGTCGTTAATTATTAATATTATCATTCGTAATTGTGATTAGCGAATACTGCTGGGAATCATTGTTATAAGATACGTTCGAATCGAGAGAAATTAGATTCATTTAAATAACATCTATATGTATATATACATATATACAGTGGACTCTTGATATATGGTCGTAGGAGAGGAAAATTCTCGGTAACGGCCAGTATATCGAGAGCCCCCTCCATGCTAAATTCCGCCTTCGTAGCCCTGGCCCCAACGCCTGCGCACAAGCTGGATCGTGCTGGTCAGTGACGGAGTACGGAACGTGGTGGGAGAGTGGTGTTAGTTGTGCTTGAAAGTGTGTGTGAAGTGGAATTGGCTCGCGCGGCCATATATCGAGACTCCGCTGTATTTATTTAAACGACCACGATCAGTGCAGATGTGAGCCAACGTGAACATATTGTGACATTGTATTTGAACTGTGGTTGTCTTTCAAACAATAGAAACAGAAAAGTGTTCACCTTTTTGTAATACGCAGTCGTTATTGCCGAAGACGAGGAAATCTCTGCCTTCTCCGTTCGACGAGTAAAAGGAAAAAGACTTTCGTTTCATGCATGTTTTCGCGAAAGCTCGGATCGTGGTCACGACACGCGACGGCAACCAGTCAAGTTGACAACTACTGGTGGTCGGCAACGAAATCTTCGATCGAAAACCTTATCGTTTCTTACAAACAAAATAATCATACGTGATTGAATCGCCATCGAAGTCGGCGGAATTATCAAATCAATGACGTACGCACGGACGTTCGAGGGGGGTCGATAAGTGCAGTCGCATCAGGGATTACAGTTATCGCTTCGATAAACGTCAATGCATTTCCGAGTGTACGATTTTTCAATTACATTCGAAACCGAAGACACGCGTCATTCGTTCTTTATTTCTGCGAATTCATAATCCGTCGCGAGTGTTTACGAACCGAAATCAAAACAGAGAACATTTTTTCGTAACGTATCGAGACTTCGTATTATCGGTTATTCAAAATAGTTTCCTTCCGACGAGATACAGTACTCGCATACAGGTAAGCAAACTCTGGAAACAGCTCCGACACTCCGTTTTCAAGATGGCGGACAGAGAGTCGGCCGAAACGTTCCAAATGTTTTATCGAATAGTCTTTCATTCACGGAGAGTCAAATTAGGCGAATACTGCGAGTAACCAAGCTGTAATAACATCTTTCCAGACCAAACAGTGATTGGCTCTTTCTCTCTCTCTCTCTCTCTCTCTCTCTCTCTGCCATCTCGAAGGAGCATTAAAAGATGTATCCAGAAATTGTACAAGGACTGCATTTAAGTATATATACAATAATAGAAACAATTTTGAATAACTCGCAATAAAAGTCATCAGTATTGCACGAAACCTTATTGTTCGAATGTATGTTGGCAGACATTTGGGACACAAACAATATATAACTCGATAATACCGCTTTCATGGAACGGGACCCCCAACTGATTTTACAACTAGGCACTTACAGAAGTATATACATATATTTACTTAAATCTCAGGCCGTCATTTCCTGCTCAATAATATGTCATTTCCGTATTAATCAAGGGTAACCTATACTTCTCAAAGATCAAGAAACATAAACTTTTTCCATGAATCCTGCAAGTTAAACATTCATTTATGACGAATATAATAGCAATTTTAGAAACGCAAATTAGTTTCTTTCGATCTAAAAAAGTAACCGATGTGTAATAAAACCGGTTTTCCAAATTGTATGCTATACAAAATTTTGTTAAATCTACCAAAAAAAAAAAAAAAACAGTTCCGAATTGACATCAGACGGCCCTGAACGAAGTTCAAGTACCATAAAAATCTCACATTACGGGTTTTACGCCCAAACTTAGTGCCTAGTTGTATTGAGATATTCTGGAATATATTCCCGTCTATTCGGGACAACACGTCTAAGAGTTAAACCTCCTTTGCGTTATTTCAAGGGAAAATAAGAATAAATTATTGAAATTGCTTCGGGATACACGTGATTTTGAGACCAGCGAACATTCTCTATCGAAGTGAAAGATGTCCGAACGGTATATTGAGAATTGCGTGAAAGAAGAAATAGACGATGAAAAGAACGTAGGATCACTTTAATTAAAATTGTTCGTGTATAGATGTATTTTCGCGTAATAGCGGACGAGAGAAGAGAAACAAAGGGACAAGTGTAATTTACGTCCTCCATCCTGCCCCTGTTTCGCGGTACCCGTGGTTTAACTCACCCCCCATCCCCCCGCCCCTACTAATTCTTAAGAAATTCGTTGTTGCGTGTCACTTAGGAGATATGTTTAGCCCAAGACTTAAGGGGGATGAATTCTTATCAATATGCAGACGCGAAAGTAAGGTGGAACCGTCGATGAAGAGGTGACGCACATACTCGACGAAAATTCCGCTAATCGTTTAACGCGTTCGAAGAAACAAAGGAGGAAACAATTATACGTGATGTAAATGAATAATAATAATAATAATAACGCAACTCGAGAAATTCGTTTAGGAAAATGAAATTAATGTTGTCCACTTCACGATTCCGCGATGTTCGCCGTTTCTCTTTCGTATTTTTCTTTTTTAATTATTTTCTTTGTTTCGAATGAAACTTAGGCTAATAAATGTTCAAAGTGCACAATAAGAAAACTACATGTTATCCCGTTGCGTACGATGCAATCAAACGGGAAGATACGGTTTACCGTACGAATAATAAACGAACGCGAGTATTGATCGGGGCCGAGATCGTTCAGTTCCCGATGCTATTTATGCGAGAATCGTGGGGTGGACGTGTAGTGTATATGATAAATTGATATACGTATAAATACATAATTAAATATATATATATATATATATATATATATATATATATATATATATATATATATTTATTTATGTATATGTATATTTAATATTATGATTCGTTGAGTTAACGCAGTCGAACGACTACGCGTATGTCAACCGAGTGTGCGCCAAAGAGAGAATAAAAGAATGAGAGAAAGAGTAACTGATCATCGTGCGTCTGTAAATGTGTTTTTAGATTACAAGTTATAAGAAAAAAATATTTCATTCTCATTCTGTGATGACTGTCTGAATATGATGAAGAACAAAAAACTATGAAATGTTTTCATGAATCTAATGCTGGTTAAATCGATTAAGTTAGCATATAATTGAAAAAGAGAGAAATGATTCGACTTGTACGAACTTTCGATACGTGGAACTGTACACTGTTCGGAAAGAGGAAGAAGGCAGAAACGCATGCACATAAACTGATATATCTGAGTGCGGAGAAAAGGAAACTGTATGATTTGTACACTGCATAACTTTAGCCGTTTACCATTGATTTCGAGAAATGTGTATAAATTATGTGTAATTAAACAAAAGTCATTTAGTAAATTCTAAGAGTATATGATATACATATAATATAAATTATACACTATATACAAAATTCAAATCATAATGCGCGCGCGACTGCGCACATGCACATATACAAAAAAAAAAGAAGAAAAGAAGCAGACGATATTGTGAAAATTACAAAACCAAACACTGCAAGGCCACTGTATTATACATTTGTGTAACTGAAATAGCGATGGTACAATTATGAAGATTATAATGATACAATAAACACTTGCCGTATGTCTTATATACACATATGCAAATGCTATTTACAAAAATCATACATATATTTTTGTTTCTATATAAGAATGTTGAAAATCTGGGTACCAAGTTACGCGATGAAAAAGATTTTATATTATTTGTAACAAACTTATATATTATATTCGAAAGTACACGTTATTTATGAATATCAAGATATCATCCATGTATATAATATCGTATCGAAAGATATCGATTAACAGATCGAATGTCTCGCATCATACGGATAATAATATTAAATTGAAAAGATTTCAGTTCGCTGCAGTTGCCATGTGTCGTTTCAAGTACAGAAGTTGTGTTTTGGACTCCAGTGACGATAACTGAGACACGTATGGTGCCATCTGCTGAACATGATTTTGGTAATCCGAACCTACAAAATTTATAAACAATAAGATACCGATCACTGTACATTTTGAAATGCAAAAAATGTATACCCGTATTTGTTTTTCTTTCTCCGTAAATCACTTTGCCGTCGAAATCATTCAGAGGAACTTTCATACTCTCATCAACTTGCTGGATCGTAATATTTAGATGATCCTCAATCTCAGCTAAATACTGAGAACAAAAGGAATCGAAAATATAGATGAAAACGGAGGAACATTGTACGTGTAGAAACATAAAAAAAATGTACACTCTGTTTTAACTTACGTTGAGTTCTTTGTACCACATGCAACAGCCACCCTGACCAGAGAGATTAGTATTCTGACAATTCCTTCCACGACTAGGACACCATTCACCGTGATACCAAACCTTTTCAGGCACTTTACTGACCAGTGAAATAGCCAAGCCCATTCTTTCCGCCCTACCAACTCTACCTATACGATGCACGTAGTTTGATTTTTCGTCGGGTAGGATCATATTGATCACTAAAAACGAAATTATACGATCATTTGTGCTATAAAGTTACACATGAATAATCGAAATAGAATTCTGTGTACACACTGAAAGGCAGTCCTGTAATATCTAAGCCTCTAGCTGCAACGTCGGTACATATTAAGAATTTCACTTCTTGTTTCTTAAACGATTCCAGATTCGCTTTACGTTCTGCGGGTTTTCGATCGCCATGCAAACATACACATGAAAACTGATTTCCACCAGTCTGTTTTAAATATCGCTCCAGATTATCGCAATCTAACTTTGTTCTACAGAAAATGATAGCTCTGTCCATCTTATGTTCTTTTATTGCTCGAACACAGTATTCGCCTTTTAATATCTTAACGGCCTCCGAAAGTGTCTCTGCAAAATGGATTCAGTTCTAGGTTCAATGATGTACGCCGAATGAAAATTTGATTTAGCTTCAAATGTACCAGCACTGTTGCTTCCAGGTCTTATATTGTCTCTGCTGTGTACACCATCAGTTTGTATATGTGTTCTTGAGTTTTCCCAAGACTTGTCTTTCTGAGGATCTATCGTGACATATCAATCGTTCCTACACAAAGTATAAGTTTTCCACTATCTTTTTATAAAACATTTCGGGGAAATACAGACTGTCATTAGAGATACATACAGCCATCTTTTTGACTTCAAATGCATGCAACGTTGCAGAACAGACGATCATCTGCAATCGTTTTCCATCTGACGTAATTTTAGGTATTTGCTTATGCAAACGATCAATTAATTCTGTGTAACCTTGCTTTAACAAACCGTCAGCTTCATCCAAAATAAAGAATCTGAAAGTAAGCTGTAATATAATAATGTTTATTTAATAGTGTTCGCGTAAAGCAATTAACTATACACCTGCAATGAGTTAGCAACAAGTAACCGCCTTGTATCAAATCTTCCATACGTCCGGGTGTCCCAACCACTATGTCCACGCCAGAATTTAATACCGATATTTGTTCTTTTACACTGATTCCACCAATCACTAATAATTCCCTGACTGTAGGATCTTTCATATACTTTTTAAACTATAATTAAAATGTTATACAAGTTAAAGATCTTGATTATATTACTATTAATCTTAATTAATAGCAACTCACTTTTTGGATTTGATTGAAGGTTTGTTCGGCAAGTTCTCTAGAGGGTTCTATAATTATTGCTTGAGGAGCATTACATTTTGGTTTACCACTTTCTTTACTTTGAGCAGCACTGCTATTCATTGGATTTTCCTTTACAAATTCTTTAAGAGCTGAAGTAACAGCTACATAATCATAGGGGGGTGGATGCTTAAAGGGTTGAGCTCCAAAATTGAAAGACATTTCTGCATTTTTCAACACAATAGCTGGATAAAAGGTTTGTGATTTCTGTTGTGCATTCAGAGTAAATGCTGTACCCAAATTTACACCGTTCTTACTGAAATTGATTTCACCCTTTATCAAGTCCAAATAACATCCAATTACATCATACATGCCAAAAGCTTCTCCGTAACTGTCAAACTGTTTTGCATTTGACTTTTTACCAGTTCCACCAAAACCAAAACCACATTTGTCTGTTCCTAAATCCAAGGATGCCTATTTCAAATACACAAAGATCAATGGAAACAATCTGACCCAATAACTGAACTAACTTGGTGTTATCAATATAGGCAACTAAAACACTTACTTGAGACATAGACCAGCCAACACGACACAAACCTTCATCAGTTACTGTAGCCTCATAGAAAAACTTTTTCTTGCCTTGAACTCCTTTGGTAGCTCGACAACCATGCCATTCTTTCAGTTCACGACTTTGACACCTTAAACCATCTGGAGTTACAGCCAATGCACTACCTCTATCGAATAAACTTAGAGACCAATGTGTAGCTACAAAGAGTTTAAACGATTATGTTTTGAAAAACATCACTAATCAGAGAAAAAACATACAAAGCTGTTGTGACCCAGAAGTAGTTGATTTTCCAGATTCTAGATCTTGCAAAGTTTCCGATACTATCTGCAATACTGGTAAACAAAAAGCACCAGTCTTTCCACTGCCAGTTTCCGCAGCCATCAATACATCTCCACCACCCAGAATTAATGGTATTGCCTCAGCTTGTACATCTGTTGGTAGTCTAGAATTTCAAATATTCAAAAAATCTATCTTTCAGACTCTCTTTTGAGGTATTGTATTCTTGAAATCACTAATATTTTTATTGATATTATTATACTTAATCTAACTGTACTTACGACCACTCCATTTCATCGACTGCCTGAGCAATTTCCGGCAAAACACCCATTTCTGAAATGAAATGTCAATGTAGAAGATACTGATAACTTGAAAAAACATAGTATATTGCAAGGAAATTATTTGTAAGCATTCACAGTTTTAGGTTTGGTCGCATAATTATTACATGAATTAGATATTCGAAAGAAAATACATACCCTCGAATGCTGCCATTATTACAAGACTAAATATTTTTAAAGATATAAACTTCTCGACTAGAAAAGGAAGAAAATTCGTTGGTATTCTTCCTTACAATTAGCGATCAAGTCCCATCAATTGCATCGAAATTGATTGCAGTTGATTGGAGGTTGATCGATGTCAAAATGCAGTGACTACAGACACAATAAGAAAGGGATCATGAATCTGTGACATCACGGCGTGCGAACGAGAGCGGTAGAGCGAGCTGTGGTATCGGTGCTCTCCGTCGGTGCCGACGCGTGCCGAACGGTGCCGGATATAGCCGGAGCGGTCGAACGGGAGCGAGCGAGAGCGGTAGAGCGAGCCGCGGTATCGGTGCTCTCCGTCGGTGTTGACGGGTGCCGAGGAATTTCGGTGGTCTATGGGAGGGAGGTGTGCGAGCGAGAGAGTACGGTAGAGCGTGCCGAGTATCGGTGCTCTCCGTCGATCCAACGCGCTAGTGAGTTGCGTCACCCAGTTTATTGACTTAGCCGTGTACGCCGTGTACCAAGGTCGTACCATCCCGTGCAGGTCTGTGCTTGCTTCCTCACTTTGTCGTGAATCGTTGCGGAGGGTGGTCG